GGAGCAGCTGAGAAGTGGGGGACCTGAAATCGCTTATCTTATCAGCGCAACGACCACTGGCAAACGCCACAGCGCCACAACGTTAACTATAACCCAAAAGCTCATCATAACTCATCAAGTCTGACCAAAACTCATTAAAACTCATCGCAGCCTACCTAATCTTAGTAGAGTTTTTATGATATCGTCATAAGATTTAGAAAACTCGGAAACAATTATCCTTTTTCGCTGATAATTGTTCAGACCATGTAGTGCCAAGATAGTCGCAGAAGTACGCATGGTTCTTGTTGGGATGAGAAGAGCCAGCTGTTGGATATGCGACTTTGGTAATGAGAATCTAGGTATGTGGTCTGTCTGGCTTCAATGTTTTCCTTGGTAGTAAATAGGAGTAGGATGAGTCCATATCTCTACTTGAAGATTCTTGACGTCTGGATATCTGACGTAAAGGTTGCCACCGACTGGGACAGGGTTACCTTTTCCACATTAATTAACAATGCCCTTATAATACAATCTTTAAGAAAATCGTTCTTATCCTTTACTGCTTTATCGCCGTAGCTCTCCTTTACTGTTTTGTCTGATATGCTCCTTAACGTGCTACCTTGCTATAAGAAAGTTCTATTACAGCTAGGATTTAGCTCAGCTTTTACATTAGTATTGTAAAGAAAAATATCAGAAATCAACATAAATGGGCCTCAATCCTTGCCCTCCCTTCTACCCGGTTAGAAAGCTACAGGTCGAACTCATCTAGGAGTAGGGATGGCACAGAGGATATTGCCCATATGTGTGGATTCATATTCCTTACCTTTATGTCAGATTTAAGACCTACTATACTCCCTGGAATATGCCGCAGCTTTAACATGAGCCACGCTGCAGTGTGTAAATAGTCGTATCGTGCTACTGGGTAAGACTCTCTCCTGTCCCTGCTCCTGATGGCTCGTAATACACAAGGTACGGCGCATAGACTGATAGTACTTGTCTTTCCGACTAAACGCCCCTTCAGCCCTATCCACCTCAGCTGAGGGAACAGATCTAACCATTTCACCCCTTGTATCCAGCTTCGGGTCGCCTTGGCAAACCCTAGACAACGTTTGTGTCACGATTCCACTACCACCACTTTCGAGATGGTTGATCCACTACCACCATGTATACCAGGCTCTTTAGGAGATGTTGCTGGGACGCTCACCACTGTGGTCCAGGATCAGTCGCTAAGATCTTCATTGCCACCCTTATCCTTGCGAGCGGGGTTCATCTCTCGGAAGTGATAGAAGTTCTCCCCACCCAAGGCTTCAACAGATAATTGAGGGAGACTAGCCGTAAGAGTCTAGCCTTGCACCGTTCTCATGCGACTCAGCCGCTTCCGCCACCTCTTTATTCAACTTGTCGAAAGAGATCGACAAAGACACCTACTGCGTTTTTACTGTCAGAGGACGCAGGACTGGGTTTGGATTGGCAGCGACGACAGTTATGTTCTGAGTGACCCATCTCGATGCTTTTGTCAGTAGCAAGGTATATCCTTCGGCATCAAAGCAATGCCTAATACCCTTGTACTCTTGTGTGATTCTGAATGACCACAATCGCGTCATCTTGAAAGCCAATATAGTACTCGATAAGCATCTGGATGCTCGGCTTGTCGTGGTTCTCGTGCTCTAGGTTGGATTGGCGATGAATAAATCTTGCAATGGATGCCCAGGATGCTGTGAGTCAGTAGATTGTACTCCTGGTGTTGTAGAAGTTGATGGTGCCGTATATAAAAGCGAGCTCTGGTATGTAGTTCCTGTCAAACTTGGCGAGATCGTACTTATCGGACTCGCGCTCAGCTGCCTCTTTATTAACCAGGACATTCAGGTCTACAACAGTCCGAGTCCGAGATAGTCTTTATCAACGCCTTAAAGAGAAAAAATGTTTACCTGAAGAGCCAGCATGATTTGACTTTACAGAAGTTGTGCTTGATCCTGGTCAAGTGATAGACGAGAGTTCACTTATATTGAACTCCTCATCCATCTTTTGCTCATAGGCAACCTCGCCAGCAGAGCCGCTTAGTAGTAGGGCCTGATGCTGGAATATGAGCGCCGTGCGCATCTAAGGCATACCTTTTGCATCTGTTTTCTAGGCCGTCCATACAGTTCAAAGTATTATGTGTCAGCCCGTGTTGTTATCGCTTCTGATCCAGATCCATATAAACGTGCTGTACGCTAACATGCTTCTGCGCGTTCTGCTAAGTCAAGAATGCATAGGAGGTCCGGCGTCCAGGGATTGATATGGTTCAGAAAGCCATACAGGGCAAATTATACATGGCTGAGATAAGTCGATTCTAAAGACCAAGGGAGAGGTCGCGGTAGCCCAATCTGGTGCAAATGGTTGCTTTTTATCAATCCACTGGATATAAAACTCTATGGCTTGCATATAGCTGCATCACTCATGAAGCAATACTTGCTGTCGAGTTGTCGAATGCCGTTGGATGAAGCCGAGATTCCATTTTTCCAGATTCCCTCATGCTTATCTGTCATCGAAGAATCACCATTGCTGATAGGTCTGTACCTCTTGAGAGCGCCACAAGGTCTGGTCTACGGCGATATTGCCGCGCGAGGACTTGAGATGACCCGTGATATAAAATCTCATGGAGACTTCCAGATCAAGAAAGTCCTATTTTCGCGCTGGCTTTAGGGTAGTACTTTCGCAAGATGCAATAAGCATCCGTACTTGGCCGCTGGAGTTCTAACTAATAACTGTACTGAGGCCACCTGGCAGATCTGGCAAGATATTATTCTTACCGGCCATTTAGGTAAAGACAGGTTATACTTATCGCAGACTTGTTGTCGGCGCTTAGACAAGAACCACCGTCTATGGCTTAGAGCGTCTTGACATCTGGGAGTCGTCATTCGAGATGAACACCGACATGGAAAAGGGAGAATGGAACCAGCAAGTCCATTGCTTCTCTTCGTACATTAAGGGAATCGGCCCTCCTGAGAGAGAGAATTGGCTCTCAATGTACGGATCTCAACCGCTAGCGCCACCTCGCCAGATCCTGAATCGTATCAGTTTCTGGGATCAAGATCTGTGAGGAAAGAGTTCACAATCACGCTTTTCTTTGCAGGGCTACTGTCGGGCTTTTCGATGTGCTCTTTATCTATGAAAATGGATAATAACTTGGCGATAACTGCCAAGCATGCTCGGGGACACCTGACATGCCTTTCACTGAATGACTAGGAGATTGACTTTGGGGATGAGCGTTGTAAAGGACACGAGACAGAACTAGACCGCCTACTAACTGAAATGTTGTTTCCTAATTGATGATTGTGTCTCTGAACCTGGTAGAGATATTGTTATCATAGACTCAGTGGAGTGTCTGTGATAGAAATGACCTAGTATTCTTAGCTTCCCTCCTTGTCTCTTCCTTGCTCTCGAATTCGCCGACTTAGTGTTCATACCGACAAGAATTGGAACCTCATGACGAGCAAGTACGGTAGAATCAGATTGTCGTTATTGCATGATGAGGAAACTAAAAATCATTCTTGTTTCTGCGTGTTAAATTACTAAAGCGTTCTTCCTTTATAAGGAAAGATATCGGGTTATTGCATCATCGGGGTAAAGATCTGGTAACCCAACCAGATGCAGCCCGTATCAAGCCGCTTTATGAAGAACTCTTCTGCTATGTAGGTCGGGTTGGGCTGTATCTGTCGTTAACATCAGATCTTTTCGCCGTTGACCAGATGATTGGAAACTGGGAAATGATTTTCGATATGGCGGGACTATCCACGACCAGATGTCTCTGGTCAGTGATCGGATGTAGTGAGCCTCTCCTATTCATTGGCGGTCTCGGCTCCCAGGTCGATGATGCGAGACGAGAGACTAACGCAATGGTGCTGTCAATGACTTTCCCGTTGGAAGAATTCGTCGCCCAAGGTAAGGGTTTTCGTCAATCTTTTGATCCAACAAAGGCATTACAAAACTCCTCTTCACACTTCACGTGGATATTCAAGTATCCTCCTTGGCCAAGTGTTGAGGGGAAGTCGTTTGTACCGACGACAACGAATAATTATAGTAACTTAGCCACACGAAGCTGTGCACTATCGAGGTGTATGATCTCCTTAGTTGTCAGGGTCACTATCCCTCTGTCGCAATCTGATAACGACACTTCCCCACCATTTACCTTGAAATATGAGAAAAGCCCCGACGATATGCCTGACGCATCGGAGATGGAGGGCTTTTGGTATTGTTGGTGCTAGTCCGCTTACTACTGGGACGACTACGAGCTGCAGCATGTCTCGATAGTACTTCAGCTCCTGTCTGGTTATCGCTGCTCCAGGACAAGCCTGGAGCTTGAAACGAGCGGGGTCAGTTCGGGGCGGAATCTGTAGCGACACGGAAAGGCACTTGGTGACAATAAGCGAAGGCCGAAGTTATCGATATACTTGTGATGCCACTCGCAGGGCTCCAACTGTTATTTGTATAGTGCTGCTCTCGTGCCTCTACAGTGATGTGCGTACGGACAACTGAGAATTTAGTCCTGTATGCTATGGTAGACAATATGTCTAATCACAGCGAACGCCACAGTTGACGTTACCGTGACAGTGAGACTGTTTGATCCGTCAAGTGCCCTCAATGTTGTAAAGCTTATCTTGGGCAATTGTGTTAGGTAGCTGGTATACTGCCCGGATCGCGTGAGAGTGAAGCACACCGTCTCGAAGTGAGAACCCATTAGCGTTATGGAATCGTGTCAGCATGGCCTGGGATGATGCCTACTGTTAATAGAAAGGGCTGAAAGTATTGCAAAATGATATTAGATCTTCTACCATTCTTACATTCCCCAGAGACTGAAACCAGCTAAATAAGCTAATTCCTCAAGTAACCCTATCAGTACATTATAGTCTATAAGATTCCCAATATAAGTAGTTATTGTAGTATAGCTCTTCTATAGATTAAGAACTTAGTGCTTAAGTATAGGTTTAAGTAGTTGTAAATCTACTAAGAATTAAAGAGCCTAAGCTTATAATTATTTAATATTAGACTAAACATAAAATATAAATAATATAAAAGAAACCTAAGCTAAATAAGATATAAGTATAAAAGGTAGAAAAGAATATAATATAAAAGACAAGCAAGCCAGATAAAATATAAATATAATTCCAATTTTCAACAGGAGGTGTATCCCTTGCAGTTAACTCTGGCTGGGACCTGAAGCCAACGACGTGCTCTGCAGCGGTGGTGGATTGCTTGGGATGCGGCAGCGGCTCCTTGAGAAGTCCAACTCTGCTCCTTACCGGCCTTATCCCTACGCGACCCGTTTGAAACTCCAAGGGCGTAAGCAGGACACATTGATTAACATGCTCATGCTTTGAGTTGCTAAATCGGGTGTGGCATCTCCAAAGGTCCCTAAGAAATCGGTTTGGATGGGGAGTCTTTGCCATTTCCCGGCAAGGCAGAGTGACTATGAACTCTGGTTTTAAAACATTACAAACAGCTACAGCCCAGTTGTCATGATACTGCAGATTATGATATGTTGGGTCGTTTCGGTACTGATGTGGCGCCACTGCTATTACCTGTAGTGGTGTAGGAATTAGAATATTCTCAAAACAGCCTCTATAGGAATGAGTTGTTGGCTGCACTGTACGCTAGAAGAAAGTTAGATAAGAAGAACTATAAAGTAAGTAACGTACCTCATATATAGTGCCAAGGATCGGTCGCTCAAAAATTTCATCACGTTCCATATGGTATGGCGGATACAGCGAGACACGGCCAACATAATCAATCGACTGATTTGTTTCGAACAGGATCCCCAATTTCCTGAAGAGCATAAGGATGTCAGGATGAACCCCAATCCACCTAGGAGGCCCCTCGATGATAACAACAATATTCTGCCAAGGTGATGCAACCTGCTGTGCGAGTGCCGCAACATGAATAGAAATAAAATTCCATTGCGTTTCGAATTCATTAGGAGAAGTGAAACCATCTACTGGGATATAGAATGCGATCTTGATCTGTCTGGGTGGTTGGAAGCGGCTAGGCCGAAGAATGTCCTGAAAAGCGAATTCACGTCCCGGGAACGTCAATGCCGTGAAATGGGTCGTGGAAGATTCAAGGTAGACCTCGTCAGCGAAAGGGTCTGGTATATCCTCTGATGTACTCCAATGAAAACTCAGACTAAAGGCATCAAAGAATTCTGAAGGTACTGTAGACGGGGATGGGGGACGTTGCTCTGTCATGACTGCTGCTCGGCGCCGTCGTCTTAAGCAGATGTCGCGCCACTCTCCCTCTATCCCCCTATAGTAGGTTTCCACGTTCCTGATGCACTCCCACACCGAAAGTCCGTCCTCTTCGGCCACTTGATACTCGGAATGATTATTGTAGACGTTAAAATGCGCTGACTCCGAAATTGAAAGCTGTGCAGAGCCAGTACTTTCTTTGTCTTCAATAATAGGAGATGGAACCCGTGTAGTAGAACTTTTCCAATCGATAGATGCTCCATCTAAGTCGTTCTCAGTGTATGTCGTCATATCTTCTAGAAATTTCTGTAGGATATAGTCATCTCGATTTGGTAGCTGTGCCTGGAGTTGGTTGATCTCTTCCAAATTTGAGCCGTACCATCCTTTATAGCTGATGTATCAATCCGGATCTCTGTTGTGTCTGTTTTTAATGCTTTAGCCGTATGCCTAGAAGAGTCAGCCTGGGAGGTTAAGTATCCTAGGCACATGTAGGCCTTACAGCGCAAGCATATCAAGAGCCAATTCCAGCGCCGCCTTATGAGCCTCTAAATTTGACCGCAATTTCGCAACGTCTCCTTGGCCACTGATAGCCCAGCTGGCCTTTGTCTTTAGTCGATTGTTGCCATATTTCGTAACACAGCCCTGCAACTCGGTGACGACTAGATGACAGTTGGACAAGATATTTGAAACATGGTATGCAAGAGTGTTAGGAAATGTCTTATCCTCGTCAATTGCATCTCTGATGAGCTCAAGGACTGTCTGTAGGGAGAGGAGCTCTCTTGCTACTTGATCTAGGTCATTACGAGCTTCGCGACAGGTACGCACGAAGCTGTTGTAAATAAAGAAAGCGTCCCGATAGTCGAGATTAGACCTACACAGCCTGTGGTTATTGACAAAGGATCCATGTTTTATACGAGATGTTTATTGTTAATTTATCTAAAGCTGTGAAGTTCTTAAATGAGGGGTATTGGCGTTGGCTTTCAGCTGACAAGGTTGCCACGACGCCTAATTGGCTGCGGGCTGTAAGGCACAAACGAGTACCTCTGCGAATAAGATATGATTATATAAGCCTGTTCAGAGGCTAGGCACAATTTAGCCAGCATACGGGGATTTTGATCTATATAAAGTTTTGCTTTTAAGTCTTTAAACACTCAATTTTAATACAAATACTACTGAGACTACTAGACTCACTATATTTGTCTGTCGATATTATGCAAAGGTGGCGTAATAACGCCTGGCGGGTCATTAAAGAGTCGTGAGATGAGAACCAGGACCCAAGTATCCTGTCCGCGCTATACATGTATGGCATAGAGTTCTTTATATTCACGTTGGCCAGACTAAGTGGTGCGAGCCGGTCAATGATATCACAGAGGTCATCAATTGATTGCATCAACCTTGCGTGAAATGACTTATATGCTAATGCTCCCTAACTTGGTGTGTTCGCAGAAGCAGTCTACCGTATTGAAACAAAGTGCCGCATCTACCTGATGGTTTCTGAAGACGTGTCAAGCTGGACTACCTCTTTGCCCAAGGCAATCGTTTGTGGATGGGGTGGCTGTGGGGGTAACTGCACCACTATCAGCCAAGACAAACTGTGCAGCTACATTGCAATGCTAGTGATTATATTAATTCTTACTTATGGTTGTTTATTCACTCGGTAGAGCGTGTCTGCTACTGAAATAGCTTCGAGCATATTCTCATGTATTGTCGCAGAAGTAAATCAAAATCTTCATATTTGCTGATCAGGCAACGCTATGAAACAAGATAATCTTGTCGTCAAGCCATCCATCTCTCTATTTCTCTACCACTTAGCAACATGTATACAGCATCTAGTCTTCACTACCGAACCCTCACAATTATGCCCCGTCCTAAAGGAGAAAGTCTCTCGTTCATCCAGCCGGCAACTATTTCAGGGTCCAGAAGCTTCTCCTTCAGCTGAGCTATCGCAGCATCGAAATGACGAAGTTCAAAAACTCTCCCTCCGATCCAAGCTGCCAGTCGCACCCACCAGCCAAGAATCATTGTATTGTAATTCTCAACCGCCACTCGGATCTCATATCGTAAAAGGTCGAGGTACTCCGAGCGTTAATCGACCTGCAGGTAGGTTGGCGAGATCTGATAAGGAAGCTTCGAAGCGCTTTGGACTCGGTAGAACTCTGTGACGAAAAATTTCCATGGGGATTCATCGTTTGACTGGAAGGCAGTTATGGGGGGTGCCGATCCCTGTACATCAGTCAGTAAACTTGTTTTGAGTAGAAGATGAGTGACACTTATGGTGGAAGTCGTGTCCGCGTGCAAGACTTGAGGTTGAGGCTGAAACGAGAACAGGGGAGCGACATTCTCGTCCATCTCATTGCTTCGCAGCATGGCCTTGATCGCAGCAAAAGGCTTTTGTGGAAGGCAAATCAGATTGTACGCATATTGAAGGTTACAGAGCTGTATTCGAACTTCAGTGGATATAGATTCATCTATCCTTGGTAGCAGCGCTGGGAGTTCTGGTCTTGATAGTGCCTACCCATCGAGACCGTTGAGTTCCGCCGGGCTTTGTTCACCATGACCCTCTGCTTGAGTATGAAGAGAGGATAGACCGGCAGGGTGAATTTCAGAGATGTTGGAGCGCTGCATCGTGATGGCTGGGGATGTGATCGCGGTCGTAGAGGAGAGTTGGAGTTGATACAAAGATGAGTTGGGAAAGAGAGGCAGTAGTCATAGTCGAATATCTGACTCTGGGAGAATAAAATGGCGGTGGGTCTACCATTTTTGACATTTACATCCAGATACAGGTGATGCAGAAGACATGACACATCTTCGGGTTGACACAGATGGAAATTTCCGCAACCTATTAGAAAGCGGTGCCTGGCATGTGACAGTGTCTGGTTGAGGACGCTACCCCACCACATGGCGCGACAGGGATCAATTACAAGACTGAGATTTGGGTGCTCTATCGGCTCTGGCTTCGACCTCCCCGTCTCTCTCTCCACACTTGTCCCGTATACTAAGGCTGAACAGGGCTAGACAGCTGTGGTCCTTACGATAGTGTCAATACGCGTAATTGCTGCAGTCATCGTGGTGGTGATTGAAGAGCCAGACCTGATGCAAAATGCCAAATGTCGATGTGACCTTTAACCTAGCGGTTATGTACTTTGGTAGTCTGCCACGAAGCCCAGGAGACCCGCAACCGAGCTTGCTTAGTCAAAACTGCTGCTCTTGCTCAGGCTCTGGTCACACCTTGCTCACTGACCATTACCTTTTGAACACCTGAAATTACATAAACCTTGATCATACCTTACGCGAGCTGCACACCAACCTATTATCTTTCAGCTAGTTGTTTCCGAATTTGCACCGTATCGTCTTAACTCCATGCGACCCTCGCCATGGTTTAGGATCTGGCTCGACACGCCAGGGTCGAGGCGCAGGCAGACTTGAGCCCGGTTTCTGGGGACCCTCTTCATCCTTCGAAACCCGAATACCTACCTGCCTGATGCCTACCCGCTTTAGGTCGCGCAGATCTTGGCATACGCATCTCAGGTCCATAATAGCGCTAGGCGCTCAGGTCATATGTATTTATGAGTCAATGGTCACTGATTCTTAATCCCATCCTAATATTTACCTACTCAACCCAACTAGACCTTCCAGAAGTTTTTCTACCACTCGTACTCGTGGGGTTGAAGCTCCCGCTTCGGAACCGACTTTACTAAGTTCACGATATCTTTTTTAGGACGAAAAGGTACCTCGCGTGGAAATCTGAGTACGAGAAAGTCTATGAGACTTTTGTCGGCCTATATCTCTCAAATCCTGCATCAGAGCCGGTCAGTTTGGCCATGATAGATACGGGATTGACAGAGAACACTACGCCTTCGAAGCCCGGGAGGATAGAATCAAAGGGAATCAAAACTGTTACAACGAGGGCTAGAGGATTGTGCCGGATAAAAAAGGGCACGGGACATTCGTGGCGAGGCCCAGCCAAGACGGGGAACTGGGGCAGCGATTTTTATCACTTAGGGAATATATTTAGAGTTCTCTTTATATATAAGATATAATCATTATTAGATAGGCTTATAAAGCTTATTTTATGTTAGGTAGCTAGTTTCCTGCCTAAATTAACTTTATTAAGAGTGCTATTTTGAGTTGATAGATCCTATAGCTAGTGGCTTACATCACGTGCCTCACACGTGGCGAGTCTTATCCTTGACTATGCCCCCGACGTAGGGCTGTACGTTATCAAAGTTGCAGACGAGAAGAACACGATACTAGATGCAAGGGACGCGTTCAATGTGAGTGATGTGTGGCCTGTCATCTGAAAACTCGCTATGCACTACTTAGCTGACGGTGACTAATAAGCCTAGGCTCTTATGCACGCCGCTGATGTCTGGGCGTGGATGTGATCTAGCTGGCCGGCGGCCGCGCCGAGCGATTGGGGTGACGATTAAGGTGGGAAAAGGAACCTCGACTGGGCTGATTACTGGCTTAGGCTATAAGTGAGGGGAAGCTATCAGCCACAACCTCGCGGCGAGGTCCCCACGAGAAGCGGGCACCAATTAACGCACAACCGCACCCACCTCTCAGTCACCGCCACGTAGCCGCTGTCACTCTCCCAGTAAGAGCCTATGTCAGGAGAGCACATCAACCGAGCTCCCCGCTGAAACCAATGCTTAGCATGTTGCTGGCTATTCGTGTTGCACTCTCTCGTTTCGTGCTTTCTTCGCCTAACAATCTCGTGTTTTACGACTCTGCCGTAGCGAGTTGTCGACAATGATGGACCACAATTTGTCAAAACCACCACCTCGCTCTCGAAGTGAAGTGACCATCGCGGTACTTTGCGCTCTCAGCAAAGAGTTCAACGCCGTGGTAGCAGTATTCGACGAATCCTGGGAGTCCGCCCACTACGGCAAAGCACACGGTGACCCCAACACATACACCATCGGTCGTCTAGGCCCTCATTATGTCGTTGCTGTCCTCCTTGCTGGAATGGGTAAGGTCCAGTCGGCGACGGCTGCTGCCGGCGTCCGCTCCAGTTTTGTTGGTATTCGACTTGGACTTGTCGTTGGCATATGCGGCGGCGCACCCAAAACACCCGACACGTCCGAAGAAGAAGGTGACGAAATCTTGCTTGGCGACGTCATTATCACGAATAAACTCGTCCAGACTGATTTCGGACGACAACTGCCAGATGCTGTCTATATTAAAGACACACTCGACGACAGCCTCGGCCGCCATTCTTCTGAAGTTCGCGGCTTCCTCAAAACCTTGGGCACTTTTCAGATTGCAAGAGACCTCCGGAACGACACGGCACGTAACCTGACGGATCTGCTTTCAGTCGATGGGTTCGAGAAATTTCGCCACCCAGGGTTTGCTCGAGATAAACTGTTCCCATCGGAGTACCGTCATAAACACCACCAGGCTGGGAAATGCTCCGTTTGCGACGGTAGTGACAGCGTTTCGGGGAAAGTCTGCGATGTGGCTCTCAACAGCACATGCGAGGCACTGGGCTGCGACGAATCAGGTCTAATGGTTCGCTCACGCCTTACCAGTCTGAAACAGAGCGAGACTATGAAACCCGAGCACTACAAACCCGTCATACACATTGGTACTATGGGATCTAGTGATCAGGTGATCAAGTCGGCATCCCACCGGGACATGTGGACCTCGAGTCACCAGATCATTGGCTTCGAGATGGAGGGTGCCGGTGTGTGGGACTCGTTCCCAACAATAGTTATCAAAGGAGTCTGTGATTACGCAGACAGCCACAAGAACAAATCCTGGCAGGGGTACGCATCAGCAAGCGCCGCGGCTTGTCTAAAAGCTGTATTGAGACGGTGGACGCCAGTAGACGAGCCAACGGCTCCTATTGTTGACATGGGTTCGTCCTCACACACTTAATCGTAACTTTCCCACCTTCCTGATGCTAAGATCTGCTGTAGAGCAACGTGATCAATCGATTCAGAGTTTCTTTTTGCAGCCATACAAGTCACAGAAAGACCGAAACGAAAGAGCAGCGGTCGGGACTTGCAGTTGGGTCATGGCCAACCCTTTGTTCCTAAGATGGCACAGCAATGAATCCAGTGATGTCTTTTGGGTGATGGCAGAGCCTGGATCCGGAAAGTCGGTGCTTGCGAGAGCCATCATTGACCGTGGCGAGCGGGATGCGGAGTGGCTCTATTGCTACACTTTCTTTCGGAGAAAGGGGGACGCAGGCCAGAACAAGGCGACGGACGCTTTGTGCAACATTCTACATCAGCTCTTCTCACACCACCAGTGGTTGATTAAATACGCAGAACCCTTCGTAAGAAGGCACGGGCCAAAACTGTTCGAAAGTTTTGACCTGTTGTGGGATATTCTGAGCGAAATTAAGGCCTGTGAGAACCTCGGTAGTGTGATTTGTATCGTGGACGGCTTGGACGAGTCCGGGGCTCAGAATGATCAGGATGATCAACATAAATTTCTCAGGAAGCTTAAGGAACATCAGGTCAACAGCCATTCGCAGAGCCCCAACGGCACTGTTTTCAAATTTCTGGTATTCACCCGGCCATACGTCATGATCGTTCGTGAGCTTCGGGAGCTTGGCGAGGATCTCACTCGACTTCACATCGCCGCCGAGGAGCATATGGGCGCTATCAGAGAGGATATTTCCCACTACATTGACTCCGAGATGGCCCGTGTCAGACTGAAGCTGTGTCTCTCTGACGAGGTCTGCTCAGTGGTTCGAGCCAAGTTGGCTCAGAATACGAATCGCACATATCTGTGGGTCAGTTTGGTCTTCCGGGAGATTGAAAGGTCCAGAGGCAAAACCGTCAAAAAGATCTTGAAGATGATCGATGATCTACCCAATACAGTCGAGGGGATCTACGAGACCATATTAGAGGACGTAGAGGACCGAGAAGAAACAGAGAATCTTTTCATGATTATTCAAGCTGCCAAGAGGCCATTGAGTCTAAGTGAGATAGACGTGGCAATGGAGCTTACCGGGGAGTTGACCCGGTATGAAGACTTGGACCTAGAAGGGGATGAAGGTCGAATGGAGTACATTCGCCAAGCAAGCTGTCTTCTAGTTCTAGTTGACGAGAACAAGCTTTACTTCATACACGAGACCGTATCTGATTTTCTTTCTACAGCGCCAGGCCCTGCAAAAGTCAAACTAGGCTCTGAGTTGGGCTCCAGGCCCTGGAAATCCACCATATCACGCAAAGACTCCCATGCAACCCTTGCTAAGCTCTGTCTGGCATTCCTGCAGCTTGAGGACTTCACGAAAGCTGGACTTCGCCTTCAGCTTTTGTATAAATATAAGGATACAGGGCATCCGAAGACAACGGATTTTCCATGGACTATTAAATCCTATCATCTAGGCTCAATGGAGAGCTTGGTCAAGAGGCTGGTCAATGGGGAAATGCTTCCAGATGGTACTATCAGTGTAGACTTGACCAAATCAGTCAGCGTTCATCCAAACCATCCATTTGGGGAACACTTGAAAGAGATCAAGGCGCGCTTCTCTTTCCTGGAATACGCTGCAACCTATTGGCACATACATGTAGTTGAGGCGGATATGGAGCCTGATGACTTCATGTTGAGTCTATTTGACATCGACAGTCCTCAATATGCGACCTGGCTCCCGATTTATTGGCAGACGGCGCCACGCTACGAGAGAGCGCATCTGTCCGCTTCGATTCTCGCACTTTGCTTCGGTCATCGGCGCGCACTGAGCCGGTTAATAGCCAACGGCTTAGCTGTCGACGAGCGGGATCCCTTCGGTCAAACGGCACTACACTGGGCGGCCAAGAGAGCGTCAAGAGAGGACCTTGAGTTTCTGATAAGCCAAAAAGCCGTCGTTGATGCCGCTGACAGCTTCGGGAGGACCCCGCTTATGGAAGCTGTCATTGCTCAGAAGCAGGCACACGTGGCCATACTTCTTGATCATGATGCCGATCCAAATCTGCAGGATCATATGGGCCTTCGACCAATCCACATGGCCCAAAATAGTGTTGAAATAGCAGCAAACCTACTCGACAAAGGGGCCGAGATCGAACCAATGGATAGAGTTGGAAGATGCCCAATAGACTTCGCAGCCGAGGGCAGCCATATCAATGTTCTGAAACTTCTCATAGACCGGGGTGCCTTGCCTCAGCCTTGGACTGTCTTCAAAGCAGAGGAATGGCAGAACAAAGAGATTAAAAGCATTTTACGCGGTCGAATGAGAGAATTAAGCGTCGCAGCCGAGAGAAATGCACCCCCGACCGTACAGATGCTGAAATCGATCAAGTCGAATGACACGGGAAAACTTCAAGCAGTATTGGATCGACATGCCGATGTGTTGGCCGCTACTGACAGCGAGGGCAACAATGCTCTCCACGTCGCAGCTACTAAATGCAGTGTCGAAGTCGCCTGTCTACTTGTTCAACGTGGCATAGATCCAAACGCAGTGAATAAGGCAGGAGTCAATGCCCAATTCTTTGCACAGGTTGCAGATAATCAACCCATGATCGCATATCTACGGGAAGTCGGCGTGCAAGGATTTTGTAACGCCAAATCAAATGAAGAGGACGTCATCTCTGAACTGCGCGCTCATACGCAGATTTTGAAAATACCACCCCTAGTAGCCGCGATACGTCTTGGGGCAGCTGATATTGTGCTGCGTCTGCTTGAAGAAGGCGAAAATGTGAATCAAACTTGGGGGCCGCTTCAAAAAACGCCAATCTTTGCTGCTATTGAGCGGGACCAGAAGCTTATCATAGACGTTCTGCTGGGATTTGGTGCCGACCTCGACTCTCGGAATTTCCTCCAGCAAAACTTGCTTCATCGCTGCATCCTTACCACCGGAAGTCCATCGCTTGCTGACTTTCTTGTTCAACGCAATGTAAGCATCAATCACTTCGACTACCACGGAATGCATCCGTTGGATTACGCCCGGAAGCTTGGGCTGGAAGAAGTGCAGCAGGTCATACAGCATAGGCGAGATGACGAGTTGAGAAGCGTAAGCTTGCAAGAACTAGACGTGCTTGATGTTTCCCATTTCATCACTGCAGCCACCAGCCTCCTTCAGGCACAAAGACGAGGCATGGATGTTTGTAAGTTCTCTAATCGTCTCTTACGCCGTCGTCCTCAACCAGGTGTACCCGAAGAACTGGTATTTTGGGAGGACCCAGCACCAAACCCTGATGAGCAGATGACCGACCCTGTCACTTCTTCGCCCGGAAACGTGTCTCGGATTCCATACAGATCATCTCAAGGAGATTCCTTGGAAGAGCACGCGGACCCAGAACAAGACGAGCCGGTCTCAGTTAACAAAGACACTATTCCTCGATGGTTTGAACCTCAGCTGCAGGCAGCGGCTGTCATTTTCTACAACCTACTGTCCGACAAAGCAGAGCTAAGCAAGGACCAAGTGGTGAGGGACATGAATCGAGGATCGCCTACGGTTGGTGATTTGCTTTCAATTCTCGAGGTATGGAAGTTGCTTGCAGACGAGGTGCCAGATATGGTGGACCCGTATCAACGACCAGAGAAACTAGGTCTCAATGACGGCGAGGACCACTGGCCAACTCTTGATCGCTTGCTTAACTTCTTTTGCAATCGAGTTACGGATCATGGAGATGATGACATTGCCAACAACGACAATAGAGACAACAGCGATGCTGAGAAGATAAGAGCAGTTGACAATATGGAGCAAAAGAATTTGAGGCAAATTGTAACAGAATTGAACTCTAGGCGAAAAGATCCAATGATGCTGTACTTGAGGTACCTGGAGGGACGAGACTCGGATGACGAGGAAATGTACTTAACCGATGAGGAGATGCAGGAAAAGATCCTGGATGAGGCGGCAGCACGGAGGACACAGAAACCTTGGAACCGGTATACGTACCTGTTCGTTCATGAAAGAATACGCAAAGGGGTTCGCGCCTATGTGCATGACTACAATGCGCTAACCCCATGACGACTTCTTATACTGGAGTAACGGCGTTAAGTATTACAGCTTGTAATTAAAGGGCTGTGACTTAAATTTAAAACTTGTACACTATATTTCATATTAAACTATATTTGATCCCGGCCGAGAAAACGGGTCTGAATCACTAAGCCAGTAGCCCGGGGCCTGAATGGCTCTAGCCTGGAGGCGGGCTTTATGCCTAGAGCGTAGCACATAGTATGATGCTCCGTGTTAGCACCTGTACGGTGGTCTAAGGGGGGCTCTGAAACAAGCTAGGCGCTCAGCTCAGGCTTTGAAAACCTACCCTGGCTCACCCCTAGATCACCTTCTGCTCAGGTAAAAGCAGCGCCAGATCAGGTTCCATGCCAGAAATGGATTTAGACGGCAAGACTTGTCGGAGATGACTATAGAGGAAAACACCAAAAGCACCTACGGTCGCGACTTGATTTCGTGAGTTTATACGATGCAAGCGACACCAAAAAGCTGCGCTGCATGTTGGTGCGACATGCGAAAATCTAGACATGCATTGGCTTTCTGTTCTGCAAAATCCTGCTGTGACGACCATGATTGTGTCAATTTGTCTAAAGCCGAGGCCCTGACACATAACGTTGTGCTGCACCAGTGCAGACTTTCTATGACAATGAATCTGACGTTGATTGAGAGACCCTTGTTTTCTTCAATTGAAGATGGCGGTCGAATTGGTTACAGCTAGCCACCTAAATCGCCAGTAGGTTTGATCTGACGAACCACAGAGTGCGAGCTGCGAGTCTGCAGTTCTACATGCCAACATGGTCCTAGGAAGAACGCCGAGAATACATCTCAAAATCCGGATTTTGTTGCATCTGAGATTAGCATATCGATTTGCAAATACGTTTTGACTTTGAAGCTCAAAATGTCTTGGGGTTCTGTCATAATTTAGTGCGTGAGTCAATGTAGGCGTGAGGTGTGGCTGGATTGCTCCCAACCCAGCTCCAACCCAACTCCAACGACGCGACGCGACGCGACACGCTGGTTGTTGGTCAGATGTGACACCAGGAGCGGAAGCACCGAGACCAGCACGTGAGAAGACCACTGCTCCTGAAGTGAGAGGGTGGAGATGCGCTGTTGAAAAACTGGAATGCCAATTAGACAGCATATTGAGAGTACCAGTCTCACATTTTTCTTTTCCCAATCTCATTTGGATGTCAAGCAAGTAACCACGGTCGGCTTGAACTTGATAGCTCACCTGAGTCGCCTGCTTCATGAAAACTTTTATCTCAAATGGATAATGCACTGAAAGGTATTTTGTCGTTTTGATGCCTATATTTTGACATATCTACACTTGCTCAACCTTATTTCGTGCCTTCGTTCTTCCGACCGGACACCATCAATCAAAAAGAGATCAACCGAACAACCATCCACCAAACTCCGCCCCGCGCTAATCAGCCCACGCATCACTTCATCTCCCGAGCATCTCCCAGCTTCCAGTCCCATTATCCCCTATATCAAGTTGCTGCGCCTCAACAAGTCGATCAAGAGCACGCATGTGCGCCTCTGCACGCTTAATCCTCTTCTCAGCCTTCTTGCGCTCAAGCGAAACCTTCTTCACAGCCGCAGCATTTTTTGATTCCTCCTCGGTTGGAGCATTGCTAATGCCAAAGCCAAAAAGAGCGAGGAACAGGGCGACGATAGCCACGAGGGCGTTGACTATGGCTCTCATTGCTGAAGGTTGATGTTCATCCTGGGTGGTGGCAATTTCCTGATGCTGGAGCTTTTGCAGAGTGGCTTCGGCCGTTTTGATATCTTGTTTCGCCTCTTCGATTTCTAAGAGACTGTACAGCCGGAGTTGGCGGATTTGATCACTGCTGAGATTGACGAGAATGTTGCGCGCTGCGAGCCGGGATATTGGGACCTCATCCTTGGCGGATCGCTATTCCTCCAAGGTGGGGAACTTGACTTGTCGAGATGGCATTGTGGTAATAGTCTGAGAATCCAGCCTTTCTTTGAGTTTGCGCCTGTGCTTTGTCTGTTTGGATGAGAACTCAGGGTGGAGTTAAGGTAATGTCAAAGCTGGCTTTGATGTTTCTTATTGCATGTTTGTGAAGGTCGCAGTTGACGTTTGGAGGATGACATAAGCGGGGAAGAGGAATTGAGCCAATCAAAAACCTGAGGCTCGCGGGAGTTCAACAGCTGTTGGCAGTGCAAGCCCAGAAAGGCTATGACGTTACCAAAAGCCTACAATTTAGACTTTGAACATTCGCGTCGACCAAGATGGGTTATGATCGTAGTTTGATGAATCTCGGCATTGCTGAGATCTGTGTTCAATGACCAGCGTACCATACTCCGTCAACCTAAGCCATCTGGCGTCGTTGAAGGGTTGCAGGAATCCTGAAGAGTAATAGAGACTGTTTTCTGTGTGACTTGAGGCTGTCCAAGTTGAGGAATGAGTCCGCTAATGGTTAGTGGAGCCCCCCAGGACTGCCCTGGATCATTTACGTTAAATCCGTGGTCCACTAGACTACCAGTGCACCATGTTGCTCGGGACCCATACTTGTCAGACAGGGGTGACAGAGCGCAGCGGACTCCCACGGAAGAGCAACAAGATGGCCTCGGCTATTCATGGCTGCCTGAAAGTCTGGGGAACAAATTAGTTGTTCTGGTGAATTGCGTCGCAGAATTTTCTGATTGACTTTACAGCTGGATGCCAGGCTTTAATGAGATTGTTAAGAGGCTTGTCGCTTAGAAGCAAGTTTGAGGACTCCCATGAAAAAGCCCAGTTGAGATAGTTCGCTTGACCAGGCGATTTAGATTTGACAAGAAAATCTCTAAGTGTACCAGCAAGAGACATTATACGTAAGTTAGTAAGTGGAATAAAAGCCATGCATTGATATGTCGGGACTGTGATATAAATATACTACTAGATGGCCATTTCGTGTGACCGTAGGTCCCAAGGTTGTGAGATCGGTTGCAAGCTGTGGTACGAAATCACATAATCTTGTAAGATATCAAGGGTAGCTACATTCCGATGAGACAAAATGGCAGTTCTATCACTAGGAAGACATATCGACTCTTGAAGTAAAAAGAATTTGAATTATTGTTGAGCTCCTCTGATGTCTGATCAGCGAACTGCCTTTCGATCAGTGGGCTTTACGAGAGTAGAAAGATATATGATTCACGCTTGCATTTTATAAGGAGCGAGTCACTGTCTTTTCACGCGATGCATTAGATATCAAGATATGCAAAACTCAACTAAATCCTCATCTCATTTAAACAGACTTTTTTATTGTCGCTTGCAAGCTAATTAGCTGTTGATATTGATGAAAGTGTCGGAATGATCTATGGAGAGCACTATTGCGGCGGACATGCTTGGTGAGCTTTTGAAAAAGTCGTGGCCGGCTGAAATGGATACGAGGTACTGGATCTAGTCTGTCGCTTTTCCAGACTACGCGTGATGTTTGACAGAGGCAGTGGCCTTTGGACCATGTCACGTTGCTGAGACTAAGAACTGAAGTTCTACGGTAATGGTATTGAGTCGAGAGTCAGTCTAGCCGGCCCGCAAGGCTAGCCAAGCGGAATTCCGCGATGACTTATTGAGGAAGCCAGCAAGACGGACTGAAAGGGCGAAAATACTGTCAGAATTTTGTCGGACACAGATGAGTGGCCACAGGTCTCAAGATGGGAGTCTTATGGAAGACGGTGAAAGATAATTACTTTGAGAAAACTGTAATATAGATGAAAACAAAAAGCCAAAAAGAGACAAGTCAAGAGATTTAATCAAGAAAATTAGCATCTTGATGAATTTGGTGTTTGCTTGGCAGGAAATGCTATTCAATGTCTTATTCAGTACGCCTAGGAGTTAAGAGTAGGCTAAATATTTGAACAAATAAAGAAAGGTATTGAGCTAAACAGTAGATGCAACTGATACTGGGGATACAGGGTCAAAGTTAATATCTTAATGCCATTGCCTGGACATGCTGCATATACGAAAACAAGCTGTGCCGAAAAGAATATGGCCGCTCCTCAAGCCTTGCAGCATTATGGTGAGTATGCCGTTAATTGGTTTGTAGGTTGCAATAGAGTACTGGGCGCTATGATTTGTCGCAAGAGCAAGCAAGTTATTATAGGAGTAGCTCAAACAGTGAGGGCATACTGCCGGAGCAGAGGAGGTACAGGGCTGCACTACTAAGAGCGTTGTACAAGTCGCCATCTTAGGTGTTCATACTTACAGCGCTACCTTGGTCAATAAGTGTAACCGCAGCGGGGAATCAAAGGTCCGGATTCCTTAATGGCAGTTAGCACTAGAGCCATTTTATCTCTCCTAGTTTAACTAGAGAACCTCAAACCTCAAATTAAGTATACTACTATAGCAATTACTCGCTGCGATACTCATGACGAACGATGTTCAATCTGTGGATGGCATCAGAAGGCCCCAGAAAAGTGAATATAGGAGACTTATCTGCAACTTTTTGCTCAATACACGTGATGTCAAGGCATATGATCGGCGAGAGGTGCATGGCCAAAGCCTTAGTAGTTACTCCGCCCTAAAGCCAGATGTGTCAGTGTCTCCACCTTAAAGAGGACAGAAGTCAATAGAAACGAGATGTGATGTGTCGGTAAACATTCTGCAGTCTTATTGTAATCCTTCCACTGTAGGTTCCCATTCATTTTGTTTAGCTATATGGTATCATTTTAAGCTATTTCCTGCGACGACGAAGACTCAATCCATAAAGAAACAGACGAAGACCATGCAGGCGTCCTCTGCAGCCTCCAATCCTGTAGATCCGATAGACACTTCCCCAGTTGCTTCATCCCCTCCTGGAGCTACCCCAGACTCGGAGGAATCGGAAACGGGCCTCGACTTTTCAAAGGGCCGAACGATTGCTCTAATAACTTGCATCACCTGCATTACCGGTATTGGAAATCTACTGGCGGGCCTGCTTACAGTTTGCATTCCTGCCATCTCGGCTGATCTTGGGATACCGCCAGCGCTGCAACTCTGGCCAGCTTCGGCTTACGCTCTTACATGTGGTTGCATACTGCTTTTGTGTGGCACCATCTCTGACGCCTTGGGATGTCGTCGAGTTTGCTTCGTTGGTTCCTTGATCCAAGCCGCCAGTGCTATGGGCTCCGGACTTGCCACCCCGTCGGGACAACTGATTGCGGTACGGTCTATTACCGGCGTTGCGGCGTCACTGTGCTTACCTAGTGCGGTCGGTATCGTGTCTCGCAGTTTTCCTGCTGCGAGCAGACCTCGCAGTCGAAGCGCTGCCTTCTCTGCCATGGGAGGCGGCCAGGCTGTGGGCTTCGGGCTGGGGCTTGTTATGGGCGGTGTCTTTAGCGATACAGTCGGTTGGCGCTGGGGGTTCCACGCCACCGCAATTTTGAATTGTGCTGTACCGGGCCTTGCTCTCTGGGCGTTGCCACCAAGCATCGACGACGGTCCTTTCAGCATAGCCGTGATTGGTCGCCTTCCGAAAGAAATCGACTGGGTAGGAGCCGCCATAATAAGTGCCAGCCTGGCGCTGCTATCCTACGAACTCGCTGTCTTCTCCGGGACGCAAGCAGAACGGCAAATACGCCAGCCGCTCAATATTGCGCTGCTATGCCTGGCGCTGGTGTTACTGCCAACGTTCGCCTTGTGGATGCGATTCCAGACCCAACGTAGCCAACCGGCTTTGATCCCTAACAGTCTTTGGACGAACCGGTCATTCACCGCTGTATGCGCCACAGTTTTTTTGGTTTGGGGTTCTCTCAATGCTAGTGAGCAATTAACCACCTTGTATCTTCAAGATGTGCGCGGGGTTTCAGCTCTGACTTCGTCACTCTATTTCCTTCCTGCGCCTATTTGCGGTGCGCTGATGAATGTTGCTGTTGGCTTCTTTCTCCCCCGCATGAACCCAGCATTAGCAGTGGCTGCCGGCTGTCTTGTCAGTGGCATCGCACCACTTTTGCTAGCGACTCTATGTCGCATGGATGGGCCCAGTTACTGGAAGGCCGTATTCCAGGCTATGGCTTTGAACCCGCTCGGGGCTGACCTAGCCTATGTTATCGCGAACCTAGTGGTGACTGCTGCCTTTCCGGCTAGGATGCAGGCTCTCGCAGGGGGTGTCTTCAACATGACCTCGCAGATTGGGAAGAGTGTTGGCATCGCAACCACAGCAGTCATCGCTCAGCAGGTGACTGCACAGACGCAAGGCCTTGGAACGGCAGAGGCGGTCTTGCAAGGCTATAAAGCTGGTTGGTGGTATAACTGCAGTATGAGTTTTATTTCAGTCTTTTTGAGCTACTGGGAACTCAGAGCCATCGGTAGATTGGGAGAAAAGAGGGAGTAATGAAGCACTTCTGAGATTGTTATATAGTTTAGACTGAACCTACTGTATCAACCAAGCGTTAATATGTTGTCGGTTGGAGACAAGCATGAGTACGGTAGGGATAAGTATTCATACACACAGGACGACTTCCCTACACCTTTTTCGTCATTCATAAAGCCCCAATACTTAGCAATGAAAGACTGAGAGGACACAGCAAACTTCATATTCTAGCTATTAAATAGCACCACATAGTGGTCCCCGTAGGCGCTTAAGCATACTGAATACCATATCTCATGGGCAGTCATCCGCTGATCAGTCTATGGTGTCATGACAGGAGACGGTGTCTCGAAAGCTACGGCTTTTGAATATAGGCTATTCTACGGCCTCTTCAGCCGTTGCCACTAAATTTCATCATTTCAACAAGAGCGCACCTCCCAATGGAAATTAGCCGCGGTAGCCTTGTCCTGATATTCGCCCAGAATCTACAATAGGCCCTTGCACGTAGAAAGGGACACTATGGAGGCGCACCTATCACATGGTGACAGACAACGCACCCTCTCATCGTGCTACTTCCATTCGACTTGAACTTGGCTTGGGACATCGTCCGTCTTTCGGCTACATAGCCATTACAACTTTATTCGTATCTTCGGCAGGCTTCGCTCCTTTCGTCATTATTAATTGCTAATTGCGAGAAAGACTAGACAGATAGAGCCAATGTGGTGTTCGTGGAAGACGATGCAGGTTATCTCCAGTGATCTAGAGAGACTGATACCAGAAGTTTTACGGTCCGAGAATGAGTTATCTGGGACAGCCACATATTTGCAAAGAGAGACCATAAGATAATCTCACATATATATTGTCACTGTTCGAGGTATCACTTCAGGGCCAGAGTAGATGATAGATGCTTTAGGTGACCTTGGGATCTGGTTTGAACTACTGCGTTTACAACTTGGTGATATCTGATCCCATGTCCTCGACTTATTTGTGATGTCAAGGCCCTCGAGACATTCTTAAGCTTCTTTATCCTACCTGTGTATCCACTTTCTTCAATATCAAACCTGAGCACTCTGGCACTAGACATCTCAACCAAAGAGGTTGTTGTGACCATGGATGTAGTAGATTTGCATCCTTAGTCCAAAGAAGGTCCTCTCACTATCGTAAATCTCTTACATCACAGAAACCACCAATATTTTCACGGCACTTTCACTGTGAGATGCTTGCATGGATTGCGCCATATCTGCCTCGGTGCGGGCATCCAGTTCTAGATATCATCAGAAGACATCTCCTAATATAATCAGGAGATCCCATCACTGCAGTGGTGCCAAATGGTCTTGCTCTCGGGCAAAGAAATGGCTAGGAACCCGATGCCACTTTTAGAGTTAAGGTCCGACTAGATCGTGAACGGAATAGTGCTATTCCACAAGCCGCAATGTTTAGTCACGGCCGCGTTTGCGGAGCTCGTTAGTTATTATTACATGCTGTTGCCGAGACTCAGTTGATTCTCGTACACTTGTAAAGGCCACTTGATGCATTTGCAGGCTCTCTACGTCAAATTAAAGCTTTGGATGAAGCGGCGCTTAGGCAAGGTAGCCGCTGATGTGACGGGTGTTGTCAAGGAATCCGTGGACACCATGTCCGGTGAAAATATTTCCAAAATTCATTGTTCTGGATGGAGCCGCTTCTCGATCTTTCTTGTCCCCAGATCCGGCCCAATCTCTGAAAATTGGGTCTCTTCACTGCCAAATCACGATTCATAGTAATGGGTCTGTCTGAGGAAATTGTTCTGATGATCAAGCCACACGACCAAGTGTGACCCAAGACAGTATGCGTCCCGATGAGCCTGCGAGACAGAATCTCAGTGATTGCATCTACCATCAATGAGAAATAATGAATGATCTACAGTTAACAACCAAACGGGGACAAACAAATACGTACCAGAAGACTGGTTGTTACTCTTGCTACTGCCCAATACGAGAGCTAGAACGACTCATATATGCTTACTTGCGTGCTTGAGCCGGCATACATCTATCCTCTGCTGTTTCATGTTTACTGCAAAATGGTAGAAGCATGGTTAAGGTGTTTTTTTAATAGATGGCAGTGCAAATCACGATAACGGTACAAATCTCTTGCATCTCCTTGAATCTTCTGCTGCAGAACAAAATACGTAGATCATGAACCCCATTTTCGTCCGCGACTATATGGTCAATAATACCACTTTAGCGCACTCTCTACGTCTCAGCTCAACTTTACTACCCTCTTTCCCTTCTCACAATGGTACAAACTCTAAGGTCCTCTGATCCATACTTTGGCTGCCCCAAAGATCCCTATGATGGATCACTGTTGGGCCATCAACTGGTCCGTCAAACTGTGTCAACGCCTTGTCACCTGTAGATGTGCCTCCAATTAAGTCGTGCCATCGTTAACGCCCAAACTGTGGCCGAGGCCCAGATAAGATTTGGCCACTGCAGAGTAGTCGAGCTCTGTTTTGACAGTGACCGCTTCGAGTCAGTAAAAGCGTCTACTGAAACAGCATGTGCATGGCAAGCGGCTGCAAGATCGTGTAAAGGCCAAGAGTGCATAGCACAAGGATAGTAGAGACAACTATGAAGATAAAGTCATGTATAAAGGACGGAACCTCAAGCGCTTATTTGACATGGTGCTTGGGTGCCTCCGTGGTTCTGGCCTGGCTACCGGACGGCATTGGCACAGTGGTGGTATTGCCGAGATTGTTCAGTAAAGAGCAAAGGCACTTATGATGATCTCCTTGACGCTTTGGCAGGTTAGTAAATGGACCTGAGCAAAGAGCAGAGGGGACCTACCGTGTTTCCCCAACACTGGAGTTGGGAAAGTCTGGACTGAAGTTCTAGATCTTGTATTCTGAGTTCCAGAACTTCAAGGCGATCGCATGAATCACTGTCATTTTCGGCTTCCGGAGATGAGTGCTTCGTAATGAGACGCTCCGGACTCCCGATGTCGCCACTTATCTTGGTGTTAGAGGGAGGAGACAGAGGATCATGGGTTGGCGATGAAAGAAGAGTTTCAGCAAGAGGTTCGAGTTGATCATCGTTGTTGGTGTCAATGCCGCTGGTGGGAGTTATGATGGGAAATTGGGTCTGAGACTGACGATACAGTTGACCTGTACCTGGTGAAATGGCAGTTCTGTAATGGATCTGTTTGTGTAATGATATTGAGGTTCCTTGAAGTGCAACGTCGTCACAGAGCAACTTCAACGAGATCAGGTTGAGGTGTATAGGAGAGAATTGAGAACAGTTCTGTCTGTTCAGATATGGTAGCCTTGATTGAACCGACAGCGCGTCTGACGAAGAAGTTACTATAGATCAGTCACTGGTTTTCCAGACGACGTGCAGTGGCTGTCTTTGTCTTGCATTCGCGACACTCACCTTCAGCGTGACATCCTTTGTCGTTCTCTGCAGCTTGACCTTTTTGAAGCTGTCACTATTGTCTACCTGCAGATTCACGTCACCACTTGACTATCATTTCATTTACTAGCCCTCGATCCAAAATCCAAAGAGCTATGGTAAGATGAAAGGATGTCTTGTGTTGTCTGTCCTTTAAATTCTGCAGTTTGGCTTCTCTACCGGTTCCGCCATTATTCAACTGGAGAGTCTTGCTTCACCGCTTGACTACCACTTGTATAGACATTAACTGCGAGACTCTTGTATCAAAGAAATTTACCACTATAAGAAGATCCTCCCTGCCCTGCGATCTTCAACTTTCGATCTTCAACTGTCTTCAACCTCGCAGACGACTATTGACCATCTACAAAATGCCACTCCCAACCTTTCACCCCGATGACAGTGGGTTCGAGTACCGACTCCGAAAGCATCGCAAATCCCCTGGCTATGAAGCAAGTGTCTGTCGTAGACGAAAGAGAAAGCAGCAGCGAAAGTCTGCCACCCGGAAACCTAACCGTAAACGGAAGCACCGTGGTAAGTTGATAGACAATAATTGAAAGTCTATGGGTCAAATACTAATACATCTGGAGTCCCTTCTCGAGTGAGCTACAAGCCCGCTGTTTCTGGTTAGAAATAAACGTTGATCGGATGGCGGCTGATGATGGGATGAAGAAAGACGGGAGAGGAATGTCTCGACTTGATGGATGAGCTACTTGTGGTTGATGTATTTGTTCTTCACTGTATTTATATACACCATATATTGAGCGAATAAAATATTGCCACTATTGGATATCACATATTGCCGGAGAATGAGCTAAATCGAATGTGTAGTATCGATCTATCTCTAATGCACAGTCGACTTCTGCCCTAGAAAAGGAATACCACCGCCAATTGAGGCAATAATATGGGCAAACATAACGTAAGCCATGTCCTATCAATCCTATAGTACACTCTGTTGTTTACCACCGCCTTCATGTACTCCCACTCTGCAATGATCGACGTTTCCTAAACTCGCGCGCGCTCGAGTCATCCTCGTCGACACTCGTATTAGTTCTGGCAAGATTCGTCGCCGGGTTATTTGGACTTGGAGAAAAGGCTCATGACATAGTACACTCTTAATCTTATTAGATTGATTACTTTCATCTCTTACGCCACATTTTGGCATATGGGCCAAGGGGAGAGTATTCACAAGTGATCCGCCGGGTACATCCTCACTTCAACCCGGTGGACAATGTGTCTCCTGCGACAGTTCATTTCCAGCCGCCTTTCTCCAAACACTCCCGAGAGTACCGTCTTGCACTGGAAGGGGCCAAATGGAGCAATGTGCCCTCGATTTTCAGGGTTGGACTCGCCAAATCTGCTGATATGTATCTCTCTGCATGAGGGCACAAGCCAATACAGGTGAAAGATCTATGTAATTATTTTCAGTGAACACTTCTTTTCCCTGTATATTCATAAATCTGAGTACCGATCTCTGGAGTATCGAACTTATTCATGCGGTTCAATCTCATGGCCGACATTCTTTTGTTTGGCTCGCTGTGCGCAAGACGGATCGATTGATTTGTGGACATGGAGATGAAGCGAGAGGATGTGTTGAAGTGCAGAATGAACGGTATCGATAAGGCAATGCACTAGTACATATTCGATTCAGTGTGACATCAGCCAAGCGAAAACGTCGATTATTTTACAACACTGCCCCAAGTTCGCCAGTTCGAATACCGGTGTTTGACTGGAACAGCAAGACTAACTACTCTGGCGCTACTATGGTACTCAACTATAGTCTTAGAACTTTTTCATCTGTATTTGATGCTTTTTGAAGCCATTTGGCAAAGTCTGGCGCAGCTATCTCCAAGGCGCTGCGTGCAAGGTACGTACCGTTTTGGCAAAACCTGGTGGTTGTGCTCAAGACCATGGTCAGTCCAAAATCCCCAGCTCAGACAGTCACGTACCCATCCCTCCAGGGTAGCCAGATGACAAAACGGAACACCAGATCAAGCATCGCGGATCTTCAACGTCACATGAGATCTGATTGCAGAACAGCATTTCCTGATAATTCATTTTCATCTAGAGATGGTATCAACTCTAAGAAAAAGAATACCGCGATATAACTTTCACTTTGCACATCGGCGCGAGTAGTTAACTGTTCAACCCAAGAGCACGTCCAACACGGATGAAGAATCATGCACCAAAACAAAGTTAATGGTGTGCCTCTTTTTTTTTTTTTAAAAAAAAAAATGTAATTGCCTCTACGTTATACCTATATCTTCATTGGGACAAGATGCAGTCGATAGGCCAGCGCCTTAACGGGCAGAGTTTTGTGGACGCGGCGCCACCAAATGGCTTTTCCAACCAAGCTGACGATATGATACTTGCTTTGTGGTGTAGCGTGATAATCACTGACTATATGCAGCACATACAGCCCGGGCAGATGGCTTGTTTATGACGCTCAATTGAATGCAAGACAAAGAGATATCAAAATTCATTCACAATATGCAGCTTTGCAGAGAAATGAGAGACGCCAAGAAGCAGAAATGGTAACTGCATTTCAATTCTGGCCACTCTGAGTTGACATGTTAAATCGCGCTATGGCCTCCAAAACTGCATCATTTGGGCCAAAGATGCGGCTCAGTTGCATCAAAACTGCTGGGATATATAAGCCATCTTCATTGAGACAAAGAGAAGTCTGCAGTGGCTGTATTCACCGCCCTCCGCGTCGTCACCAACTTCTGCAACACCTCAGAACAAAGAACGTCGCGACTAGAAGCTAGTCACGATGTAATACCGCATATCATATAATGTCGCCCTATTTCATCTGAAGGTACATAAAGTCACTTCTTGGGCAATCTCACTTTGCTTCCCACAACATTCAACGGTAATACCGCCAAACATGGACAACGACTACCACTGTAAGTACCATCATTCCAAAGCCATGTCTTTCTAATATAGCTACGACAGATGACAACCCTTGGGCCGGCCAGCAGCCAGACGATACCGAGCACGTTATCAATTATCTGAACAGCGACCACGGAATTATGTTCCCTACCAACGAATTTACGGAGAGCCCTGAGGATTACTCCGCTGGTGAGTATTCCTTAATACTATGTAGTCGAGACAATCTAATACGTCTAGGAATTCATAACCCTGCGCTTCCGCCCGCTGAGGTAGACGGCTTCGCTCTTCCACCTGCCATCGACGAGCACGACTTGGACGCTGGAGAACTCCACTTGAACGACCTATATCCCCAAGCTCACACGCCTCTTGCAGAAGCTTGCTGAGCCTACATCGTTGAACCCCTCCTTCTTGCACTGAGACCTCTACGAGATCTTCCCTCCACCTTGATTATCCCTATTCACTACCTCCTTCTTACTATCTACTGCATCTTTACCAGAATGAAGGGGCCGTTTGTTCGTCAACTCATCCCCGTCATTCTAGTTGAAGTCGTCGAGCGGTATGAGCCCGGAGCAGGCTTCTATGTCAACGTCGTCGTCGGTTTCATGCCTCATATCTCGGAACGGTTCCGCCCAACACTTGCCCTACTTTCTCAGCTGTGCGATCAGTGTCAGGTCTTCCTTATCATTTTGGCGTTTCTTCTTTTGTCTTCCATCGAGCAGCGTCTCGAATAGACAAGAGTCAGGATCAGCGTCTCAGGATGCATTCGAACGAGGTGGCATGGAGAGTGGCCCCAGCATGGAAATTAGTTGTTTTACGTCGATACAGATAGTTGTGAGGGGGAATAGGAGAATGGCAATAAACAGGCTTGGGCATGATTGGTTAGTTAAATTAGAAGGTAGGAGGCGTTATTATCGTTCTTACAAATTGAAGACAAATCAGATTTGCTGTTCAGTATATAAATCTCTTTGCAACGATTTCTTGAGTTCCTACATACCTTTGAGCGGATCCTCTGAGATTCTGCGCCATCGCTGGTACCTCCTTAGATTCTCATACGCCAAAGGGGGAGACCCAAAAGCTAGAAAGCACCTACTAGTCCAAGATATAAATCAAGCATGGGCTCTGTAGTACAGATACATAGTACAACTAATGTTGAGGTGAGGACGTTTTACAATCGGATCCCCAGAGATACAATAGCAACGGCATCAGCCAGAAGGGCACCAGGTGTATGTCAGGAGTTGGCCGCTTCATTCGTCAGAGGCACTCTGTCATGCAATCAAATAACCTCCCGGCGATTACGTATGATGCTGAGAACTGACCTTCTTGCAGGTAATTGTCTGTTGAGAAATGCTTAAAACTTGTACGGTGCATAAATACTTTGTCTCTTGTCCTTAATGAAATGGACACCCTGCAGTTAATCAAGCCTGTTGACGGAACTTGAAAAACTGATTTTGTAGAGGTTATTACCTAATAGATATAAAGATTATATAGAAAGCCTTTTTTTTTTAAATATTAATTTTAAGTTTATTTACTTTAATTAAAGTTTATAAATTCTTAAATTAATAATAATTATATATAAATTATATAAAGTTTAAATTTATTTTATATAATATTAAAGGTAAGTAAATAATATATATAAGTATTAGGTTTTAAATATAGAAACTAGTCTATATTAGGTTTATATTTATAGATAATATAAGGTATAATACTAAGCTTATAAAATATTATATCTCTTAATAATTAAATAATATATATTAGGCTTATTAATATAAAGATACTTTATTAATAGCTAATAAGCTAAGTTCTATTTAATATTAAATAAATATATATATACTTAAGGTAATTAGGTTAGTTCTTTTAGTAATTATTAGTAATTATTAGTAATTAAAAATAATTATAAAGTAATTATAAACTAATTACTATACCTTCTTATTAAGTTTAGGTAATAATTTCTATACTTAAATAAAATTTATAGGGTATATATAATATAACTATAAGGGTTATAATAATATAGATAAATAAGTAATATACTTTACTTTTTACCTTAAAGGCAGGTTTTTAAAAGCTTAAAAAATATTTAATTTAAAGTTAAAATAGTTAAAATTTTAATAACTTATATATAAGTCTTTAAAAAAATTATATTAATTTTTTTAAATTTTTAAAAAATTCCTTATAGCTATAAACTTTAAAGTCTATTTATATTATATAATATATTATATTTTAAGGTTTTCTATATAAAATAAAATAAATAAAAATCTTATAAAAGTATTTATTTATTAAGTTAATTATATTATTATTAAAAATAACTTTTTTAAATTTTTAATTATTTTATTTAAGATTTAAATTACTATAAAGTAAGCCATTTTTAGCTATATAGTATTTTATATTATTTATTTATCTATATTACTTACTTATCCCCTATATTATTACTTTTTAAATAAAAATAAATTTTAATTTATTAACTATTTAATAATAATAATTTATTTTTATCTTTAATTTATATAAGCTTTATTTATTTATTTAAATAAAATAGACGTTTTAATAGTAACTAGAACTGCCTTACCTTAAACTTCCTTACCTTAAACTGCCTTACTTTAGACCGCCTCACTTTAGACCGCCTCACTTTAGACCGCCTCACTTTAGACCGCCTCACTTTGGACCGCCTCACTTTGGACCGCCTCATTAATACTCTTATTACTTTAATCTCCAATAAGTCAGTACCTTCAAGGTAACCTATTGAGAGACTTATAAGTATATAGTCTTTATATACATTATATTTCAACTCTTAAATATTACTGTAAAGGAAAGAAAAGAGAATGGATGCCTCCGCTACACTTCAGACCTGTCAATCGCCGCTTTATAGGCCACTGGAATATCCCAACCGCACTATTAGACTGCTTATTCTTCAACCATCAGCAAGCCCTCTCACATTACTAGAGGGAAGTCTCCATCCTATATCACTCGATCTCCGTCCGGCGTACCTAGCTTTGTCATACGTGTGGGGTGATGCAAAAAACACCCAGTCCATGGCAGTAGATGGCCATGAGGTTGCTGTGACTGTCAATCTCGCGTATGCACTGCGTTGTGCCAGATTACCAGATAAGCCAGTTGTTATCTGGGCAGATGCTCTGTGCATCGACCAGGCAAACGACGAAGAGAAATCAGTTCAGATTCAGCTCATGGGCGCGATATACCAGAATGCATACAAGGTTCTTGCGTGGTTAGGCGCAAGCGACCACGACAGCGACCACGCGATAGACATTCTCAATAAAATGGCGACCGCGATCAAACAAGAACAGGATCCGCAGGATGGAGATGGAAGCTCCATTGCTGATGGTGAGACCAGCAGTGACGAAGAGGAGCCGGGATGTACCATAATGGGAACGTTGCGGGTAAAGATCATTCAGACTGAAGAAGAAATGACTGCAAGCGTGGATGGTATCTCCAAGGACCTGAGTGGCCCTGATTGGCTCCAGCATTTACCGGAACTGTGGACAGAAGACACGCAAGAGCTCTCTTCCTTTCAAAATCGTGCGTGGGATGCCATTGCGCAGATCTTTAAAAGGCCCTACTGGAGTCGTGTCTGGATATACCAAGAGCTGGTGCTCGCCTCGAATCTCCACTTGCATTGCGGAGAAAAGTCTCTTAGCTGGCAAGACCTTTGCTTAGCTGCTTTCAGGACCGACCTCATGCTCAAGAGGGCTGACCACCCGCCGCTCTGCTTTTCTCGTTCTCTCTGGTCAAAGCTCACTTCTCGACCTATGCATCAAGTTGTGCTCGTACGCCATGACAAGCAGCAGATGGCAAAGGGCACCATCCCTTCGTTATACAACCGCATTGAACTTCAGCGGCAACTCGAGGCATCAAATCCCAGAGATCTTATCTATGGCTTGCTTGGGGTTTCCCAAGCAAGTGTGGTGGTCGATTATTCGAAGCCTGTTCACCAAGTCTATCACGATTATGCCAGTGGCTGGATACGATGGGCTTGCGCCCAGAACTCCTCGAATACCCCTCTGAGCTCTATGATGGTGCCTGTGGTATGGGCAGGTATCGGGTACGAGACTCGCACACAAATGCCTTTTTCGGCCCCATCCTGGGTCCCCAACATCCAAAAATTTCGACAATTGTCAAACGCCTTGACCGGATCCGGATGTTTATTTCAAGCTTGTGGTAGAACGAGACTGGAAAACGCAGTTACATCCATTGATGGAAATTTTCTACATTTGCGAGGACATATATGTGACAAGATCACGCAGACCTGGCCTTTACCTTTTGCCGCTGACACCTTTTACGGAGATTTACCCCGCATAGCAGATGCCATGTCAGCGAGGCATCAAGCCAAGGAACATCCGATGAGAGTCCCACTCTTAGACCTGCTGTTTCGCACGGTACTCATGGGGCGTTGGCCTGGTACTGGTTATCCCTTGTCGGTTTTGAGCATATCCACGAACGATGAATTCATGTGGAAACGGCGTTTCATTCACGACCTCACCAAGCACAAATTTGCAGAGCTGCGCAAGTCCAGCGATGACGAAACTGAACAGTCTCTCAGGGACCGTATCCTTAGACAGTGGCAAGTCGAAGGGCCACCAAGGTCCTGGGAAGAGGTCATTGTGAATATCACAAGCGCGGAGGAACTTTGGAACACATATAAAGCGGGCCAGAATGATGGGTGGGAAGAGTTCCTTATTGTGTCTAGGCGCAATATAAAAGACACGTGTCTCTTCCAAACAACTACAGGATACTTTGGCTTAGGACCTTTGATGATAGAAAGCAGCGATTTGATCTGTGTCTTTCCAGGAGTTCGCCTCCCCACGATATTGCGTCCTAAAGGCAACCGTTTTCAGCTTGTGGGAGCTTGCTATGTTTATGGGCTGATGGACGGCGAAGCTGTAGGCAATGATGTTCAGGCCTGGGAGGCTTCTTTATCCGATTTCGTTCTAATGTAGAGAAGACGACAGGAGAATTCTAATTTCGGGACGACAGCCCCCGCATGGAGACTAAGAATGTCTTCCGACTTAAGGCTGAATGCGAAGCGCCAAGCAATACAAGATGTCATTGTAGAATTTTATCGCCCTGTACATTTAAAAGCAATAAGTAGAACTTGGTCCACAGACCTTGACAGGCTTGGGAACAGTGCAGCCAAGTCAGATCAGCGTCTGGAGCAACGTCTCGACTCTGGTACAAACCAGAAGGACAAGGAAGCCCATGAAAAGATTCAGTAAAGCAACTGTGAAATATATCTGCCTGGATACAAAGAATAAACCCCTGTAGCGAGAGAGCCATGATGAAAACGGCGTCAGGGCCGAAGACCTCATAAAATAGGTCACGAAAGCGAGAGTTTGCTCAATCGACAGACCAGGTCAAGACTCTTGATACAAGGTGCCTGTGAGTATATGGCTAAGGGGTCAAAAGAAGTCTGGTATGCGGATTATTTGACCATGATGTAAGATGGATTGGCTTGTGAAGGCATCGAGGTGCGCAATGTGCTGTGGCGGCTCTAGACTAGGTATAAATGCGAATTATACAGGATATTATTGGAATATAGAGCGAATGTAAGTAATCCGAGCTAAAAAGCCATTACAGTCATCGCATTCTTTAGATGAGGATGAACTTGGATGAGGGAATGTGTACTACGACGACGGTATAGTAGTGATATGATCAATGAAGTAGGCATGTAGAATAAAAGATGGCTGCTGTGAAGTCTACAATGGATAAATTAATTATCTGAGTGAAAGTAATGACTAGGTATTGTCATGAACACTCATGGAGTGCAAGTAGGATACCGGCTTCTCAGGTGTATGCTCAACAATCGATCTCAGTTTCAACAGCTCTAGCTCCAACCTATCTGCAGGATGAAGAATCCAGTCGAACCTAGTCAACAATTTTCGTAAAGGAGTCTGCCTGTCTTTGCCTCTACCATCAATAATGTTCACCATCTATCTTCATGGCCTAATCCTGATCCTGGTCGTCCTCATCCTCACCATCCTCAACTCCCCACTCCTTCTTGAAAAATACTAGGACCTCTTCTGGCGAAGGGGGATCGACACCCCAGTCCTTCTCTGTGACTCTCCCCTCGGCAATAAGCTTTTGTTGAGTTCCACGCACTTGGATGAACAAGCAGGTGATATAACGGCCGTTGCTCTGAAGCTTGAAGCCGATGTGATAAGTTTCCTTGGACGTGCTGCGACCCTCACCATGCCCGAACAGCCATCTATTGCCGGTGGCCCATGCTGGAGGTGCAAAGTCCTTGGTTTTTGCATTCCTCAGGTATGATGTCTCTACATCCTGGATGTCCTTTTTCTTCGTGATACGGTGTACGTTGTCTACGGTAGGATATGGTGGTAAGCTATGAGATGTCTTACGAAGACATAAAGCTTGCTTGAACGAGATGATATTCAGGGAGAATGGATTCTGTACTTATCTTGAGGGCAGGGTGCAGTTAAAGTGATAGCTTTACAGAAAAGACGACCATGGTGTTCTTTCATGAAACGAGCGACAATCAATATAAGAGTCATTCAAGCAAGCCCGTAGACCTCATGTCGTAAACATAACCAAGTTTGACTACCAGAGACGATGTACGCCAGATTGATGCTTGAACCCACTTGCATGGACAATCAGCTCAGCCTACATCTAGCAGCGGGTTTTGAAGACCTACCGGTGGCTTGAACAAACTTGCACTTTGAACAGAACCCATGATTGGGGAAGCGAAGGTATCTGTATGGCTTGTTGTCTGGACGAGGATGGCCAAGCTGGTTTGTTTTGTGAGAGGATCAGTTGACGCTGGAAGATCCATGGGTCAGCGTTTGGATGGCCTGGGACACGAGATGAAATCAGTTTGGAACAAATTTGGGGTATTTCTCACGTCCATATCTGTTCACAATTCACGGTCCAAACCAGATTGCTCGGGCTTGTTCGCTGCAATGTGTGATCGGAAACTGGATCATCAGGAGGGGAGGTTGTTCGGAGAATCTTGATTAACACGCGACACAAGACATCCCCAGGTCCAATAAGCGAGGTTACCCTTTTCTCCGCGACTTGGTTGTCATCGTAGCGAGGATGTTCATTGGTGTAGTTGCACAGTCGCTAAGGAAATCCTCATTGAGCTGTTCACTGCACATTGGGACATGCGCGCTGAACTGTTGATATTGGCGCGCACACAGACAATCAGATGAGTTCAGTGCACCTTCTGAGAAAGAAGCATTTGGAGCTGCACCGCACCACAGCTTCGCTTCTCCATAACAAGCCGAGTTCCCTTCAATCGCACTCCAAACACTCGCTTGACAGCAGCTCAACAGAGGCATCACAAACCCTTTGCTTCCATGACTGTTCTTATACTCATCCTCAACAAAATCATCATCACGGCGTCAGAAAGTTCATCTCTTGCGTTTCTTTGATAGCTTTCGATCACTCACTCTTCCCAACCAGCACAGCTCAACAACACCGCAATAGAGCCGAACAATCTCGTTCCCGGATACCACCAAGATAACAATCTAAAGCTTGACATCATCGAAAGCCATCACGATGCTCTCTCATCTACCAAATCCGTCGTCGCCCAAGTAGCGCAAGTCATAACCGCCACCATGTCCCCCATCATGCTCGTCAAGCTCAAAACATCCAACACGCCAAACATGGCAATACTCAAACTCTACGACCGACGGTTTGGATCTTCGCTTCGGAGGAGAAAGAAAGGCAAACAACTTCCGTGCCGTGTTCAAGACGAAGCTGCTTTTCGCTCTTTCGTCGATGGTGGCGATATCGGTCCTTCCATGGGTGAGATGGAAAAGGATCGTCACACGGAGCTACTCCCCAACTCGGCGGCTGATTGGAGACTGGAGACTGGGGGACAAGCCAAGTTTGAAGCGGCTTTGTGGTGGGAGGCCAGAACGCACTTTGAGACGGAGGTTGAGGCGTACAAGCGTCTCAAGGATCTCCAGGGCGTTTTCATTCCCCGTCTGTGTGCCTCTGTTCGCTTCTCACCTATTAGTTCTAGCGCCAGCAAAGACATCGATTATTACTATACTGTCATCGGTATTCTTCTCCAGTTCATTCCCGGATGGAGCCTCTGGGATCTGCCCGAATCACCCTCCTCGCTAACCTCGCAGCGGGAATGGACCTCGATCGTGCAGCGCGTTGTTTAAGGCGCCCACGAGATCAACAAGCGCAATATTATCCTTCACGATAGCTGTACTCGTAACGTTGTAGTCGACATAGATTTCCATCAGCCATTCATCATCGACCTTGCACAGTGTTACTTCAAGGATCAGCTCTTCCAGGATTGGGAACACTTTGGCTTTGTCGACGGCCAGGAGGACTGGACTTCTGGGGGTGAGTGGAGCGAGAGCGTGAGATCACTGGATAACCCTGACTTGTTTGGTTTGCCTATGAAAAGCAAGCTGGAGACGGTCAAGGGGTTCTTGATTGACGTGAAGTATCCAGAGTGAACAGCTGTTTTCTTCGGTTGTGGAGCCGATGCTCCAAGAGAAAACCAAGGGCGGAAGGCCGGAGGCTGAGGGCGGGACTGAGGGTACAGAATGTGACGAGGTTGTGAATGACTTGATCGTTGAGCAGACCTGAGCGAGGATATTGAGCCTGCTGCCAATGTTCGGAGCAAAGCTGGATTATCCGGGGAATCGCAAGGGCGGTGTCGGATTTCCCCGTGAGGTTTCTTAAGGTATTCTTGCTACTACTCTCATCTCATAAACTTGTGTGCTCTCTATCGATCGTGTAAGAACCAGTGATAAGCCTCTTTGCGTCCTCTCAAAGAGAAATTCACCGTGTATTACTTATATTTGACAGAACTCGGCTGTCTTTTGGCATATCTCGGTCTGAAACTACAGATCTGTAGAGGACTCTTGGGCCTTTGGTGAGAATGCCAAACGTGCTGCATCCCGATGTGCTGGATTTCATCGAGCTGATTCCCGTTAGAACGGATAGACGATCTCATGGTCTACTGTGGCCGCAATACCAGGAATTATCCACAGCATCCGATGGATCATCCTTGCTGTAATCCAACTTTTTGGCACTAACTCCGCTGCAGATCCAAAGTCATGTCTTCCGAGTTTCAATTCAACTGGCCATCTTCATCGAACCCCTAGAAGCATAAATCGGAGTTCCGGAAGAGGGAGGTCAACCAATCGGGGCTCCCACTCACTCAAAATCGGGGCTTGGATTGATTCAAGATTTCGAGTTCTTACGTGTAACTGTGTACCCGCCCAGATTTCTATTGATAACATGATCGCGGTCGCGATGTTCCCAGAGGCACGATTTCTTGACCAGCTCGAAATACCTTGTAGGTGACAAAATCGCGATGGTATGATGAGAGTCTGCCAGCAGAGAAGTGGTTCTTGTGGTATTGGCTTGTAAGGGATGTCATGACCGTTGAAACGTTCACTGTCGCCAGTTATGGCGGAAGTGTGCCCTCAGAATCATTAAACAGGAACAGCTGACATTGCCCCTCATTCTTTGTTCAAAGTGACCTGTAACATCTTGTCCCTCATGCTTTTTACGAAAAATCGGACTTACCAAACACATTTGCAATGAGTTTACAAGCTCTTCCATTGTTACGGACAGCTCGCCTCTTCCACTAATGGCAGCTTCAATACATCAAAGCATGATGAGAGGATCTTATGAACTCTGCTCACGGGAAATAGATGGACTTGGATGAGAGTACCTGCCCTCGGGAGTTCTCACGTTCCACATCAGCCTCGTCGCTCATCTGCCATTCCCGTATCGATGAACCCAGTTAAAGCCAATGCAGAGACCTCGGAGATGAGGCCCCTCTCTTCCAACAACTTGAAAACCAATTACTCTTTCGAGGTCCTGAGGTGCTATACGCGGATATCCGATTCGCTTTCCAGCCCACTGATACGGTAATAATGTCCAAGCTGTGAGCCAGATGTCTTCTCTGCAATCGAGATACGTGGCTGGGAGGTTATATTATCTCCAGAACTTAGCCTTTTTAATATCCAGAGTCATGAATTACTTACTATAGAAACTTCGGAATTGAGTTTCTGAAGTAGGATATTGATTTGAGTGCTCTCGGTATCCCGCCCATCGGGACTCCGGGAGTCGGAGAGAATGCTGCGATAAGCCGCACTTCCTCACTTAGCTTTGCGACTGTCCGTATGATCCAGCCAAAAGTTGCAATAGATTTGATAAGACAGGTTCTAACCTTCAGACAATAGCATAGCAGCTATAAACGCAGAGCCTTTTGTCTCTTCTTGACTGCTGCTTGCCGGTGCTGACACCAAGATTAGCGTATTGAGACCACATCGGCATCGTGAAACCCACGGATACAAAGGCGAGAAAGATGAGTCAATGTAAAGCGCAAGAGTAAAAGAATCCAGTTTTCATTTCGGCTCATGTTTCTTTAGTGGAAAACTTCCTTAATAATGTTGCTGTCCTGTCATACCATTGGCAAAGGGTCTTTAGAACGAACCTGTGGAAGAGGGGAATGAAAGCAAGTTCTGGAGCGAATGAGAGTCTTGGGTGGAAGGGCCCCATTGTGGCCATGGTACCCTGTACCTTGGCGTAGAGGAACGGCGTCGTATACGGTCAGAACATGAGAAACAGTCAACTTCCCAGATACGTTTGACGGTGATGGTGATTGAATACTGTCAATGTTCTCCTTCTCAAAAATCTTGTAAGGGGATCTTCTGCTAGACAGTCGGAGTATTGAATCGGTATCCTGATTATCTGCTTTGGCATCTGGAGAGACTTGGTCATACCCGACGTGGACAGGAGGCGACTCGTGGCGACGTTGATCGACAGTAAGACCGAAAAAGAGTGCTTTCTACTAAGAACAAAGAAAACAGAAGAATAAAAGGCTAGGGAATTGATAGTTTCTGAGCATATCAGTTTCTAATGCAAGCCAGAACGGGCAGAGCGAGGCTTGCAGGGATGAAAGATTTGGTCAGAACATATTCATACTCTCTCGCTCTTTACCTCTCAAAGCGTATTTCTCATCGCGTCACCTTCAAACAGGGGGCCAAATTTGCCTCCACTCTCTCCAAGAGGACGCTATCTTTGCTGGTTTCTCTTGCAGACGTTAAGCTTGTTGACATGGTGGGATTATGAGACGAAAGTCGAGCGACACGAAACCTTCGAAGGACTGCCATCAGCACGGCTTCTGGGGACAACTATAGGAGCCGCCCTGAGTTCCTCATGGGCCACGACCTATCGAGAGAAACTTATAAGTCTGGAGCCTGCGGATTCCTTGAGATACTGTTGGATGTCGAAGATGAAATACGCCGAGCCATGTCACTTGAAGGATGGTTACTGGTCCACCGGAATCTACCGAGCAGACCAAGCAGCTATTTTGATCTAATTTGCTCTCATACCAGCCCTTCGCTACATCTCATGACTTCCTTCTCCCTGACAAGCGGACTACTAGCTTCCCACAAGGCGAGGGGGCCACAGATTCAGCCCGGTCGCCATGGCCCTGCAGCGTCTTCTTACACCAGCCCGCCGCTCCAGCTTCATTTGGTAGTAATTGATCCCAAAATACCAATGGAAACACAAGCATCATATTTGCCAGCTGGATCCGGATGGACAGAAGTGAATGGTTATCATATTATCTGCATGCTATGTCATACAACGTGAGATCTGTACTGAAGCCTCAAGTCAAATTCCATGAACACTCAGAGCAAGTGTTTTCTGTGACTTATGTTCTAACATTGCCTGCTTCTTTCCGTCTCTTCAACATCTCAATCAATGGATCATTTCCTGAATGCATGTTTCTTCTATCTCCGTCAAGCCCCCAAACCAACCCGACCCTACCTTTGACAAACAATAATGGTCAATTTTCACAGTTAAAAGTTCGGTCGTGGCGATCGTAGTGGCCCTGTCTTTCATGATAAGAGACGAAGGCTTCATGGACATGCTAACATGATAGCCTGGGGCATTTAGGGTTGTCTGCAAACTGTTCCAGATCTTCAGATCAAGCTTGTGGGCGACATGACATATCTGCAGTCAAAAGTCAATCCATATCAGATATCTACTACTTACTGACAATGCAGGTCCTTTATACTCACATGTCCAGATAACGTTGTCTTCGCATAGATAAATAAGCAGGCCTGCAGAAACATTGGTGAGTCCTGGTGAGTCCCCAATGGTGTCCATAAATGAGAGGACTGCTTTTATACAACCAAAGCTTCTGCAACATGTATTCTCCCGCGGCAAAAAGCCAACCGTCGCAACTCTCCAGATTGGAATAAGCTTTTGTGGTCCATTAAATGACGCAGATTCATTGGGAGATGAGGTTTTCTGTGAAAAGATGTTTCTTCGAGATCCGGAATATGGAGCTAAGAACGTTGAATACCGGAATCCTCATGTTGTACGATTTCTTGGTGTTGAAGGGCTTACCTGATCCTTAATAGACCACGGCATCCATTCCACCAGATTTAAATCTTCCCAGTTTCTATCCCATTGGGTAAATGATTATATTTATACCACTCGTTTATGTATCAGTTATTGGTGCGCTCGCGTAAACTGGGCGCCAGCGGGACGGGAACCATGGTTCGGACAGCTCTCATACTGTATTTGTTTGCAGAATTCTCACATCAAGAATGGGAGAATATCAATATCCGTGTAAGGCACTAAGCGAAAGCAGTGTCTTTTATAATGCAGAGGGCGTAGGGCTTCAACCCTCCGGAGTCCAAGAGCGGAAGGTGTTAATCCAGTGGATTGAATCGAAATCATAAACTAATTGTCATTACAGATACGGCCGTAGAATGATCGAAGCGGAATCTATTGATTGCCCAGACTAGCTCGGCGGTGGCACACGTGCAGGTGGCGTGGGAATGGGTAAGTCCTTGAGTACGTTCGCTTTTATCGCAAAGATTCTTCTGTTGGACTATCCGTGGTTTCAGGACTCACCTGCAGAGCCGAGTAAGGCTTTATCTCGAGCGACTCTTGTGATAGTACTCTCTGCATGTAAGTATGCTAGTCTCTTGAGCTTCGTTACATGTCTTTTGACTTGTACTGACCTGGCGACAGTGATTATGAAGTCACGGGAGGCACAAATTGCACTGATAACAATGCGCTTTGTATTATTCAAAATTCAATAGTGAGACTGCAGTCTTTCAGGAGAAGAGCTTCCTCATATGATCATATCCACTTTGCAGAGGCATGGTAGCAGCGTCACTTCGCGCTGGTAACTGACCATTCTGGTGAACTTGACTGTGGTCATTTCAATCCGGAACGTCATTCGTCGAAGATGAATGCCCTCATACAAGACCTAAAGAGACCTAGCATGAAACTAAAAGGCACGTCAAGCGATGGAGCACAGGTAAGTCGCACTGATAGTTTCAGCATCGTATTCTTTGGACGGACAAGAACTGTCGATCTAGTATCAGCCCAATTTCATTAAAACAAAATACGCTTGAGGGAATCAATAGCACGCAGGCACTATCACAGCAACAAGCAAACATGGATTAGTTTGTGAAATACAAGGGATAACCTGTACTACTTCTGAGCACTGGCGTAGGCATTTTTGGGTATGCGGATCCCAAAACATTCAGCTAACCCAATCAGACTTCTCCTGACCGCAGCGAGTTATGTCTACATCATAGAACCACACTTGAACCCAAGTGTAGAGAGCCAGGCCATCAGGCGAGTCGTTCGCCTTGGGCAAAACAAGGAAGTTGCTATAGTTCACTGTATCGTTCGTCTTATAGTTGAATTTATATGTTGTACCAGTCCCCTCACACTGCTTGCTAATACAATCGTTTAGAAAATGCATTCCCGGCAAATCCGAAAGATTAAGCTTGCGAAAGTGGAATTCCAGGGAAAGTATGAACAATATCTTTAGAATTGCTAGTCTATAGATCGCAAATGTCTTATCTGGGGTTAACAGCTAGCTTTCTTTGAACTTGTTTATTTGCTAGCCTTAATATTCCATTCCGCGAATTGTGTCTGGCGGATTCAACTTTACAGGTCATTATAATTCGAAAGAGACTTTTAGTCGATTAATGACTGACGATGTGTGACTGGCACAATCGCCTAAATGCTTGTAGCTGTACCCAGATCGGAAATCTGCTGCGCCAGGCGGTGACTTGGGGTACCAATAAGCAGACCCAGATTATGCATCAAGTCTCAAAAGTCGGAGTCCAAGAATATTATGCTATTGCCAAGATGCTAAGCTTCTAGACGCTTTATATCTCTTCAATTGTTCTCAGAGCTTCCCGTAGGAAAAGTAAGTCTATTCTAGAAATCTGAAGGCATCGCTTCAATTATACAGGATCCCCTCTTCCATCTGCATGTGTATGGCAACGTTCGTATCTACACGAGTGTAAGAACGTCGTGAGCGACGCCTTGCAATTATCGGGGGTTCGTCGAAACGGGATGAGTCAGAGGCTGTGTTTCTAAGTTAGCTCAGGTCCTGAGTTGACTATACCCATCTAGATTCGTACACCGAATGTCTTGCGTTGTGTGCTTGTACCATTTACATAAAACATATATAGTGGGAGGAAGAGCGACAAGTAACGTGATAAGGGCGATGATTGATTCCACATTCATAATTATTTGTGAATAGGATTATCTGTTGGTAAGCATACAGAATGCTTTTACCAACGAAGAGGACTGAAGAAGTTAATTAATTGGGACTTAAGCTTGTAAAGATGGATGCGTCCGAGACGGGGGATAGAACATTAGTTTGATAAATAGAGAATATAAAGAAGAAGCCCAAAGATTATTACCCAAGTCTACTTCTGATATAAGAAGCTGGAAAAGACGCCAGTGAGGTTAGCCCTTTTCAGATTCTGGCCCATTGCCTAGAAAGAACACTAGTACCATTTCAGCGTTTTCAGATTCTGGTTCATTGGTCGATGAAAATAATGCAAGACCTGCATATGCATTCAGATTCTGGGTAATTGGTCAAAACGAGCCGCGTCTCCACAGTTGTCATTTTCAGATTCTGGACCATTGGCCAAGGGCGTCGGAGAAGGGAAGTGGCTTGCTGTACGTGTTTCGGATTCTGGGTTTTCAACCACTAATGGATAAGCCAGCTGGGTCCTTGATGCCCGTTGTGCATTTCTTATGCATAAGTAAGCATCAGGTGAGAGGTATGAGGCTCTTGAACCTGACTATTTAGATCTGCAACCGCCCGTCACCATTACCCCCCTCTCAGCTCAGCATTGTCGCCTACTTATCAATAATCGTTTACATTTCTCACACCCCTACCATCTTTCATCTTGACCTGCAAGTTCCTCATGAACCAAGTTCGGAAAAAAGACGCCATCGAGGCAGAATGGCTTCGGAACTATAGACTGATTCGAAACCTGTACCTCTCAGATATGCCACTTAACGATCTCATCTACTGGTTGGATTTCTTTGAGAATTTCACTGTGACGTTGTACTCCAAAGCCCTCCTTTACTACATTTGCTAACCGGCTCCCAGGAAATCTCAACTACAGTACCGATTGAAAAAATGGAATATTTCGAAAAATATCGACCGCAACTCATGGAGGTATATTGACCAAACGATCGGCAAAAGAAAGCGAGAAGGTAAAGAAAGCGACGTTATTTTATGCGGTAGGCGAATAAAGCAATCCACCATCGAAAAAGAAACAAATCGCCACCGCGACACAAGTATTCTAGTCCAGAATCTCTCTGGTATGTATACAGCAAATTTAGTTACCAAGTTGGAATCCCGAAGTTGATAACATTTTGCAGGAAGCCATGATCAGTCAATTTCATTATCGGACCAGCTCATCATCTGTACGCCCCAGCCATACCTGAACGAGTTTGAGTGGCCATACACGCTGCCATGGTTCAAGTTCCGATCCAAGCTGCAAGAATGTAAGTCTAATCACTTTAAGAATAAGGGCCTTCTTCTAATCTTATCTTGACTAGGGTTGAGCTATACTCAGCTACATAAAATGACGAGCGAGCCAAGAGAAACAGTACTGAATCTTCTTACGCCGAACATATTACTGGTTGGCCACAAATTCGACAAAAGTCAGGCAAGTCACCTGATTCCCAGGTTGGCTATTAGCCTTGTTATGGGAATGCCGGAATACTTCCCTGGCGAACACCTACAGACTGCTCAAATCATCACGACCGGCACCACAAAACTCATGATGCCAGAGTGCCTGAAGCTCATCTTCTACCAAATCTCGAACAACATGGTCGAAACATGGGAGGCTGATGACTTCAAGAATATTTACACTCTCATCTCTGGGACTGGGCTCTTGAGTGCCATAGACAGTCTAAGGAGGGCCCGACAACAAGATCTGGCCATTAGAGCATTTATGGATAATCTTTTTAGAGACCTCATGAGGTTCATCTTTTTGGATGGGAGGATAGAGAGTCCTAAGATCCTTGTCAAATGGCTCCTGTCTTTGGGCCAAGACCCTAACATCAGTTTTGGCTCTTCCACAGAGACGGCATTGGAGTGTGCGATTTTGTCTAGACAGTTAGACATAGTTGAACCTCTTTTGAAGGCTGGTGCTACTCTTGATAGGCGTTCCAATCTTCGGTCCATCATGAGCTTTTTACTGCCTGATCGAATTTGTGACAACGAAGCAGCACAAATCATCAGACTCTTGTCAGGCCACTACAAAAGCTTGACTGCAGAAGAAACCCTCCATGCGGCTATTCTACTACAGGATGACCGCCTTTTCGAACAAGCTTTAGACATTGGCGCTGATGCCTCGCTTCCTATTCAAGTGACAGGCAAATCCCCATTTTTAAACCCCATCGTCGTCAAAACGGAGACAGCTTTAAGTACGGCTGCTGCAGTCAGTATTTACGCCACACGTCGAGTTTTCGACCTCCTTCAAAACCAAAGCCGAGCCATCGAAGCAAAGTCATTTATCACGCCTGATGTTTTCATTTCAGCAGCATGTGTCGGGAACGCTGATGTTATACGGTTTCTTCATGAAATCAACCCTATCGGTTTCAGGAGAAATGCACGCGGCGTAACACCTCTGGAAGTTGCTATCCACCAGGGTCATCAAGAGGCTTTTCAGTTACTGTTCCAGCTCTATCGTCAATCCAGCGCCAGTCTTCTTCTTATTCCGATACTCGCGGACCAACTCGACATATTACAGTACCTTCTGGCGAATGGGCTAGACGTCAATCTTACGATGAAAGCGGCCGACATAGATGCATGCCAGTTCTTGGTGCCAAATCGATTTCCCCATCGGAATTGTCCATTATACAATAAACACAAATCTCCGACTGTTTTAGAGTTACTTCTCCGTGATACACGAGTCAGAGATGATTGGAATGATGGGATCAGACTCCTCATTAGATCGGGAGCTATTTCCTCTGCGATAGCAATTCTTGAAATGTCAAGTGCTGGGCACGATGACATACTTCCTGCTGCTCTAGACACGCTGAGCGACCCGAACATACATCATTTCTGCGTAAACAGTGCGCTTGTGTTGGCTCTGCAAAGTAAAAGCACAAAGTGTGTCCAATTCCTTCTAGAAAGGTGTGCTGAACTGCAAACATCGACATCTGAAGTGTTTGAAGCCCTTGTACCTGAGCATGTATTCAACATCCAAGGAGAGCGTGGCAGAGATGATCCGCGTCTCAGAGCGATCCTTTTGGAACACTGGGTAAAGATCTTCGACTCCAGCAAGGACAGTTTGCTTATTATTGACGCTGCGATCATCGCACAAGATGATGCCAGGCTCAAATGCGTACTTTCAGAATTGCCAACATACTACAGCCCATCAAGCCTATGCTCTGCTGTGTTAGTTGAGAACGACTGGGCTATTGACTTTCTTCTCGAGAACAGACCTCTTCAAGCACCTCATGATATCTTAGAAGGAACTGCAGTTGGTTTGGCCGCGATGCTCGGCAATCTTCCTATGGCGCGAAAGCTCGTAGCGAAGCTTCAAAAGCCAGAGACCGCACTGCTTCCGTTTGATGGCACACGTTCTCCTTTCGTATTTTCCCACGATAAGGGCCTTGATATCACTTCATCACACATTTTCTGGCACAAATACTCGAGCGATCTTGATGATTTTGATCATTTCGATGACCTTTTTCGTCCTCCTACTCTTTCGAAGGGCAGTCCGCTGGCTTTAGCCGCATCCTGCCGAGGAACATCCGGGGTCTTAGAACTGTTAAGTTACGGTTATCAGCCTGACGATATCACGTGGGCTAGAGCTTTTAGTATGGATACTCTAGATTGTTTGAGGGCGCTGATGAATTACAACGTGCGAGTAAGGAGTCTTCAACTACCGCTGTCAACACTTTCGCCTTTGCTGAAATATGCGATCCATCATGAAATGGAGGAAGCAGTCATTTGGCTTATTGAGTTAGGAGCGGATATCAACGAGAATGATCCATTCCAAGACTTTGGCCGCTCTCCTGTGCAACTTGCTATCGGACTAGGCCACCTGACAATCGCTGAGAGCCTTCTGCGGTCTGGAGCAGATGTTAATGCAGCACCATCTATTTTTGATGGTGTAACAGCTTTACAATGTGCCGCCATCGGGGGACATATTGGATTAGCAAAGCAGTTGCTAGACGCTGGTGCACGAGTCAATGCCAGGGGTAGCCGACAGGATGGCCGAACGGCCTTGGAAGGAGCTGCTGAGGGAGGGCGACTTGACATGGTCGAACTCTTACTTCACCACGGTGCACTAATTACAGGGCCTGGAAGATTTCAGTTCATTGGAGCTATTCATCTTGCAGAGGGACAAGGGCATCATGCCACAGCAGCATTATTACGGCAGTCGAGAGAATGGACGGACGAAGACACACACGTGTATGATTCGATGTGTCCGAGATGCGAATTTAATGGGTCGAGACTAAGTAGCAAAAAGTGTCACGCTTACAATAGCGCCTTCACCCAAAGACGATATTGCTGTGACGAGATCCACATGCCAGAGGATGACTGTTACCACTGTTACACTGAAGATGAGGAGCGTCTTTACGATTTGAAACTGCAAGAAGAGCAGAGGGAATTAGAGTTGGAAACTGAATTAGACGAAGACGTAGAATTGGAGGAAGGGTTAAAATTAGCAGATGTTGGTTCATTGGGTACGAGTTGAGAGGATGTTGTTTCGCGCCATACTTATTTGTAACTTAGATGCCATACTTCTTAATATGTCATTATATATTAATTAATTAAGCGAAAATTTACTGAAAAAGGTAGCGCATGTGTTAAAGCCTATAAAAAGCAGCAGTTATATCACTCAAGATGCTAAGGATGGCGATGGCAAATAGGTTTTATACATTTTCGTTGTAGCGGGGATCATCATCGTGAACTGGACATAAGAAATACATGAAAACCTGTCTCTGTTTTTAGATATCTATATAGATTCAAGGGATTATATGCACCTAATAAGAATCTTTACAGTTTAAGATTTCTAAGGTAGCACTTTCGTGAAAGTCAAGCATCAGTCTCATCTGGATCTCATTTGCTACCCTGAATCTGCACGGCGCTTTAGAAAATCTGGCCCTGTTCGACTCAATTTTCATACTCGAGAGCGTGGTGGGTCAAGCCACCAAAGTCCGGCTCGGTGATTGACCCGCTTGGGAATACTACGGCTAATACTTACCCTGCCTGATTGGTCCACTTTCAAAGCCAATGGGTGCTAGAGACGACAAACATTAGCTTTGAATTTAGTAATAATGGGCACTACCGGACTTGGTATAAATACACGTTGTAAGCGGTAATACATACAATAAATGCAAAGGTTCATTTAATGCGTTTCCTCTGTAATACTCGCATTAAATTTCTTTGCAAATAATGCATCAAGAATCCTCGATGCAGTGACCTCTGTTGCGCGTGTGCACAGTTGTTAGTCGATTAGCGCGAAAAATCCCCTGACGCGACGCGTCTCGAGTAAAGACAACAACAGATTCTGACTATATGAGCAACAACAGTCCCTCTTTTCCGGCGCCAATTGCACCAAAGAATGACATAGAAGACTGAGTTATGGATTGGGAGTTGGTTTCAGAGTTAGACTTGTTCTGTCATGGCATTGCAAGGGCTCTGGGGTGAACAATGTTCGTCACAACCAGTTTACGATGCAGTGCTCATTTGCATTTGCACTGGTATCCTGGCTGCATCCAATTTGGAGACAGCCGAAGCGCTAATGAACTTTTCACAAAGGTGACAAAGAGATCGCAATATCTCTTGGGTTTGTTAGTTCAAGTTACGTATGTCTTCTAGTCCGGATTTTTGTTGGGCCGCTTCTTCTGGAGAAATTGTTCCATGATCGAATGTGGGGGATCTTATCTTATCTATCGTGGTGAAGCGACCGTGATGCAGGTAGATCACATTCTGTCCAATCCGCACCTTAAGTGGTGCATTTTGGGCTTTGGATCGCATGCAACCAATTCCGGTCAATTTCATACTCGCGTTGAGTTTAGCAGGGAGTACTCAAGCCAACGTTAATTGCCAATCTTGGCTAGGGAGAGCATTTGGCGTAAAGCCTTGACATATATTTCCAGGTGCTACGGAGTATAAAGACTGCTGATCCCGCTGACAAGAAGCCGCCTGAGATCAGACCTGATGTCCGATTATTTCTTGGCAGCGGGATGGTAAGACAGCGCGCCACTGGATGAGAATGAGATCAGTGCCAGCGTAAGAGTCAGTTTGTGTGGAGCTGACCCTAGACTCTGAGTCAGACCCTCATCGCCTTGCAACGACAATTGACAGCAACGAGTCCATTGGTTATTCACATTGTTTCTTTCTCAAAGAACGCTATCCCTTTTCCGAGGCCAATTTAGTCTGACAGCGAATCTTATCCCTGGTAGCGGACAACTGTTATTGCTGGATTGGAGAAAGACAATAATCACAAAACACATCGTTTTGTGGCCAGCATGGGTGTGAACAACTGTTGCTAGGTGCAGGTTTCGGACGACTTTGAGCAGGACACCCGCCTCTCCACCTCTGTGATTCATCTGAGAAGGGATCCTGGGCTTGGAAAGTGGTTTTGTCAATTGAAATGGCCAGTCGATGGATCTCGCAGTCATCAATATGAAGTACCACAATAAATTCAGTTCATCTTTTCTAAGGACCAAGAGTGTAGATAACATAATCCAGGCCTGGATCTGCCCCCCGTCATTCATCACCGGGGGAGGATGACTCTTCAGCAGAAGACTCAGCCTCATCAGACGATATAACTCCATAGAAGAGACTGCCAAGACCGTTCTTCTCCCCAAACTCTTTCCAGTTCACAAAACCCCCCAAATCATACTCAGAAGGCGTGAATCCTCTCTTCAGAACAGCCGAAGCCAGCACCGCCGCCCAGTTCCAGTTATTCTCTCGTACCGTCTCGCGCATCGTGTCCCTCGCTACATCTCGAACCCGGTCCTCCCAAGACTTGACGGTGATGCGAGCGTTGCGAGGCATCGAGAAGAAGACTTCGCTGGGGTTCTCATCTGCCTCTGCGGCTTTGGAGAAGAAGTAATGGAAGGATGGGCCGTGCCACGCGATGAAGCAGGCGGCGTATAGGCGCGGGCAATTCTGCACTTCGCAGTCATGGGTCGCTTCCTTTGAAGCTGGGTATCTGTCAGTATTGACGAGACAATTGACATGAGATTCAACTTACTGCAGAGAAAGCCAATATGTATGTCTAACGCTTTATCGGGTCGAAGGTTGAATTTGGTGCGAGGTCGTCCAAAATCGTCAAGACACCCGCTGGTGTACTGTTTATGGTACTTTTCAAAGAACTGAACATCATTGCGCTGGTCGAGAATGTGGACGCTCTTGTTATACTCCACAAGTATCCGATCGATGGCCTCCTTGTTTGGATCGATGACAGTTGCGTGGAAGCCTTCGAATGACTGCGCAGAGTCCGACGCTTCGGTCAGTTGGATGACGGGAATGCTCGAGGAATCGATCTCATCGGGGTTGGTGCGCCACCTGGTGAAACGTCCCTGCTCAGCTTCCTCTTGCTTCTTGAGCTCCCTGCTGGTGCACTTTAGAAAAGGCCGATGACTTTGACGGAACACGCCGGGACGGAATGATAGCATCTTGCCACCTCGGGGCGGGCCGGTGTATCGAGCAGCCTTGGTTCCTGGTTCCAGTGGTCGCGAGAGCAACTTTTCGTTGATATCGTCGTCGGAATCATCGGAATTGATGTTGGGTTTGCTATCGGTTTCGTCTTCGTCCTTGACGTGAATAACGTCTTGGGCGGGATTGTCAGGCATGATGTAAGATTTTGATCAGGACGAGATCAACGCAGTTGGAGCTTTGATATCTCCACGATAACTCAGGCCAGCACAGCAACCTGGGGATCGATGAAGATGACTGCACTTGGATGGCTGGGGAGGGCAGAGACCTTTTTTCTGTGCAAACAAGAATGGTTGCTCGTCGCGACCGACCCTGTGTAACATAGCTACACCAGGTAATGTTCTGATGCATAGAGAGCGGCCAATACACTTCTTTATCCTCCATGACAAAGTCTTGTAGGTCTCTTACGACGGAGACTCTTTTACTGAATATATCTCGTGATTATAATACTTGATTATTTCGCTGGCTGATCCAGTTGATAAAACTCACGGCGTTGTATGGGAGCTTACTTGGGGCACCAGGCGTCAGTAAGGCTAAACCACTTCCGCCCCACTTGGTTCAGGGCATCGCCCACTAAATTGATAAGAACTTATATCAGATATCTGAACGACGAACCTCTGGTATAAAAGCTGGGACTACACAAATAATGCTATATGCAAGTTAGGCAGTGCCTCCCTAAAGACGTTGAATTAAACATGCAGGGATTTGATTCCACTCGGTCAGTAATGGGTTTATTGATCCAAGTCTGTCGGCAAGCAAGCTTTCACTCCAGAGCTGTGGATTCCACTACATTACTAATATCCGAGATCGACGATAAAAGCTATTATATGTTCCCGGCAACTTCATCCTGTAGTTATTAACCAAGCGGCAAAATGAATCTGATAGCCTAGGTTATCACGTTGAAGTAGTAGCGATGACACAAACTTGGTGCAGTCTTTCGGGTATTTGATTCCTGGATGCTTGGAACCTGATGACTTGTCCTCCTGAACGAGTTAGACGATAGGACCCGTTTATATCGTACTGCTACAAGAGCCAGTTGTTCCAAGATAAGCCCTTCTCATAAAGACTTCGAAAACGGGCGGAGCGGTCTTTTTTAGAACAGCTGGCTTATATGAGACTCGTCACTTCAAGAAGGATAGCTTTTCGATGGACAATGACTAGATACACTAATTCTCTTGTTGGATATAATTCTTTGTAAATCAAATTAAGCCGTTTTTGGCGATGATAGCCTTACCAGTGCCACTAAATAGAGTCTCGAGGCTTGTCTTGTGGAACATGTTAGTGTGTTTATCCAGTATCCCGAACTTATCACCGAGTTTGTTGGCTCTCACCTATTACCTCTCGGAGTCGAAGACAACTCTTCTATCTTCGTGGTAGTTGGCCTCATGCCACGGTCTGCCTTAGAAGCGTGGGTATCAATCAATTCAGGGAGAAACAGGTAGACATAGCCAGTATCTGTACCATCCTCCTTCTGCTTGAGGAAAGGGATACCGACTCCAGATATGCAGATCGGTTTCTGCATGAAAGGACCGTAGCTTTACTTAATGTCAGCCCTCCAGAATCTTCCCTCTGGCTTTTTCTCACTGGCCTTAACATTGGTAGTCTCACACCTGTTAGTGAGAGGGGAAATGATATCAGTAACCTCAAAGAAGTCCCTCTCAGTCCATGGGACAACTGACTCAAAGGGTTCCTGGTGTGAGACAGCATAGCCTTGGCCGGAGGACGTAATGTGGGGGTCCTGTGCTTGATGGCCTTCACCTTATCTACAGGCTCTCTGCGTTCAGAAGCAGTTTTCGCATGAGAAGAGGATGCAGGATAACGGCTACCTGAACTAAAGGAAGTGGGAGCATTCCCTTTTGCCTCGTCGTCGGTGACCTCGACTTCCTCTACTATTTCCTCACTTTGCTCATCGTCTCTTTCAGTATACTCAATCTTCTACTGATTTATCTCTATAGAACTCGATCCGCACGGGTCTGCGTCAATGCGCTGGGCATTTTTCGAGGGACTGACGCTGGCCATGGTGATTGTACAGTGGTATTTTCTGCAATGTGTAATTAACCAACGGCTCCGCATTGCCATGTCGTCGGTGCCAACCCCTTCCGAGCGTGGCCAAGACAGTCTCTACTATACAGATTATGAATTTTGGTCTGTATCTGTCTACCGCGTTGTCCAAGGTGCATTTCATGAGACCCGCGAGCATGTGCAACACCTGTATACCCCGAAACCGCGTAACGTTACTATCTGTCACCTCCATTGCCAGCGACCTGGCATGGAAGGACAATTTGCCGCAGAGGGTCATAAGAATGCTGTAGGGAGATATAGGGAGATCGGTAAACGTGCTCCAAATTTATACGCATGTGCACAGGAAGTCGACCTCATGTAACAAGTCACTAGGTGGGGGCTTGTCGTCAGTATTGGCAGTATCAATATCCATGCGTATACATACCACTCTTCTACTAAGGGGATCATATATGAACATCTGACACCATGTGTCTATCTATTATCTTCCACTTCTGTGACTCTGGAAGTGTCACGGGAGGACGTAGCCAAGAGGTGCCATTGCGAAGTGTGGATGGGCGCAGCCTCGTTGGCCTTTACACACGACCACAGCACGAGTAGCATTGACTTATACGGGCTCCAGAGACTGGTTCAGCCTGGATCGTCTATAGTATGGACAGGGGGCGCCGGTATCCACCGGTTCGATCAGATCATCCACAGGTAAGCTTGACAGCGACACCTCTGACCCCAAGACGTGGAGGCTAAATGCTGACGGTACTATGGAGAAAGCGTTACCAATGGTGGAGTGTACATGCTTGAGAGGAACATGGATACCTCGCATTCCTCTGGATACATCTCCCATGGGAGCGTCGAGGAGGGCGACTGCTTTATGCGTAAAACTAGGAGGAGATAGCCACAGTGGCACATGCGATATATACGAGGGCAACGAGTATTTTGCCCGTATGTGTTTTTTTGGTGTTCTTTACCTTTGTGGCCTTGAGGCTGAAGCCTCTTTTTGACCCCTCAACCCTATCACAGCGAGATATACAAGCAGATGGATGGCTGTACTATGTCGTACGACATAGAGTCCACTATGAAGAATGCACATCCAGGAGTCTTTGACTTATTCGACGCACGAATACTCTCTATAGCGGCGAAATACAGTTGCGGCAGGGAGTCCTACAGATCTTCCATCGAGCTCAAAGTGAACTCCTCATTCATGGTGCAGTCTTTTATAGCAGAGGTGATATTACACAGGCCTATGTGGCTTGTAGGATGGGACTGTTATGTTTTGGACAACGAATGCAAGGTAACATGCTCCTGATCACAGACAAGATAGCGTCCTTTTACTCTTCGCGACAATTCCTCACTACAGAGTACATGACCATGCTAACCGACCTTCGCTCTAGACACAAGAGGTCAAGTCCGTCGTGCGCTACATCCTTAAAGTTCAGCCAACAGCCTCTATGGTCACTCTTGTATGTATGGTCCTATGTGTGTAATGGCTATAACCGCCATGGGGAGATACTGCTTGACGCTCCACCTAGAGTGTTTACATCTGGTGTACTGTCTGTCGTATACGGTGACACGGACTCCTATATGGTTAGCGCGCGCCCAGGACCAGGAGGTGGAGGAGACCGTTCTGAAATGCCTGGATACGTTACACAATGCAATGAAAAATACCCCCATTAATCTTATGCATATGGCGTTAGAACGAAGGTACTACAATGTAGCTCTCTTTATCATATTAACTAGTCTTTACGACCCTAAACTTGACACCCGGGCCTAACACACAACCCTCAGGTTCTATAGATGAGTCCCTCAGAGGTTGTCGGAACATTAAAGTGCTCCTACCATATGTGGCAAGCTGAATTGCCTGAACCTAACAGCCATTTCACGAGTTGCCAGAACTCGCGATACAAAATCGAGATTACCGTAGGATGCCTCTCTGAGCTCTCTTGATGAGGTTATATGCCGTTATCCATATGGATTCAGCCGATTTCACTCATCTCTGCAACCTTCTTAAAAAGCGTAGTAATAGTCTCTACGACGAATCGTCAAATTGACGAATGCATTAGTGAGGTAAAATGACCCTGTTTTGGCCCGATACCCTCGAGAAAGTGAACAGCAATGGCAATCAACTTGAAACAATGTCAGGGGGGAAACATGAAGCCGGATTCGTCGGTTCCACTGTGAAAGTCTGGGTTTGTATAACTAGATATCATAGAGGCAACCATCTGGCGCCTGAAGGGATGTATCTAGTCAATAGCGCCCTGGTTAGTAGCTCAGCGAGAGCAATCCCGGTCCTTGAGTTGATGGAACAGTCTATACGGCGCAGGCTTTGCATCGGTGAACATATTTAGAATCTATCGCAGGACCTCGTGTCTCGAGTCCTCGGCTGTGAATCAAATCATGAACCAGTGGTTGTTCTTTTGATTGCGTCGACGGTAGAAACAACGTCTGCAACATTTCGCCTGTTTCTGCCTAGGTCTCGGATTGAACGGTTGGTGATTGATAGACCAGCAACTGATGTGACAATATCGGGACTGTAACTCGGACTTGCGTGTCTCTACTGCACTACCTTCTTCACGAGGTGTCAAGGTTGCGGATGGTCAAAATGAGTTTGTGCAGCATTACCTCTCGTATTACGGTAACAGAATGTGCGGTATCACCCTCCGCACCTAAAGCGTGCGCTCTTCCGAGCACTGACCTCATAAAAAAGATGCCGATGCAGCACGGTCAACTGGTAAACTGCGACTTTGATCTTTGGGACATATGGTCAGGATCCTCACTTCATATCTCCATTTTGTGCCTTAACCCAAAGGTTACTGAGTATATGAACGAGGTTCTAAGGATCGTTGAGAGGGCGTCTTACCTGGCCTTCTGCAGCTTGCATTATTGGTATGTCGTCGTCATCGATGAAGAATATACATTCTGATGTCCGGTGAAAGCATTTGAAGAACATCACATTTGCGAGAAGACGAACAGCTTTAGTAACAGGAATTTCAAGCGATAGGCCTATGGATCTCTCATTGAGACCGCATAGTTGTCGTCCAACACATGCACTGTCAACATTACTCTGCTTCTCCGTCTTGCATTTGAAAAGATGTCAGTTATTGGCAACTCTATTTCTAAGTGAGCCATCAGGCATATCTAGGGCTTTGCCGGCACCAAGCTAGAATGCGCCATACTGCTTATTGAATAACGAAAACAACTGAGTTCCTTTTTCTTCATCAAACTTTTCTGTTTAAATGCTCTCCGGTGCAAGTTGAACTAACCGTTGGCTTTGTGGCTTATTGATCAATGAGCTAACACCTTCTTACTTGTGTTAGTCCATCCTGATGTTCCGATTGTCGGCGCCACTGGCTCGAAGAACTTCGTGTTCTTGGTTTTTCTCCAGGAAAGCATTGACCCATAAATCAAACACTCATGAAAGACACCGCTGGTGGTTCCTTGATCCTTGGGGATTTGCTGTGCATGTACCGATCCGTACACCTAAGTACCCATCTGAAGAGGAAACGACCATGATGCTTCACTCTAGACTTTTGCAGGCAGGATTAATCTTGTCACCTCAAACGGTATACACAATGTTGCGATACACAAGGAACAATCCGGCTTCTTCAGTCATTCACTCTCAACTCCAACCCCCAATCGACATACAGACAGCATCGTGATGGCTCTACTCTGCCATCAGGGTATTATTGTACCGGTGCGAGTAAAGGCGTTTTCACTGCATCTCAAACACAAGTCCCACTAAGCCTCCCATTCCATATCCACCGGCCAGTAGCTGAACTTTCCAATGCTGTCAATCCAATGCCAGGCCGAATCGCAGAAGCCTTGTTTTACACCGGGGGATTCTCCATCAGTCACCCACCTTTCAGAACTAGGTGCCTGTTTAATAGCAGAGAATGGAGCAGGCTTCGGGCTCTTTTTAAATCATCAGATTGAACAAAGCGATATGTGAAGCGGGATCCAAAGAACAGAGACTGGCGAACAAAGGCCATGTTTGAGACTTGGGAGACTTGTAATTTACACTATCTGCTGTTGACTCGTTTTGCGAGATTCATCATATTAACTGGAGGATAATCGGAGAGATTCCAGTCGAGGGATTTTATGAGCAAGTGGGCTGAAGCCACAACCGCTATCAATGGTGATGGCACTGCAGTGCACTCCATGCATATCTCGAGGGACTCGGCGTGCAGGCCTTTCCACAGGAATCATGACCGAACCTTGATGAGGGTATCCCCTAACCGCAACGAAATGAGTTAGGGTCACTCCGGTTCATTCAAAGTCGCGAGCCTTTTCTAAACAGTTCACTATACGTTCTCATCGAGCCTTGTAGATTGGGGTTCTTGCGATGAGTTAGTAATTGATTAGTATCAACAAAGACCTTTGTCAGTAACACTTAACAGCTATGCAATAAAAGAAGATCTTTTAAATACCAGCAGGAAGAGACAAATCATCGTGGTAAACCCGTAGAGAATTTTCAAGTGTCCTGGAAAGGTCATACGGACGTCTTGCGGATTACATTGCCACATCATCTTTCCGAGGCGGGCTACCCGAGAACGCCTTTTTCCTCAGTAAATTGTTCAATTACAAGTTCTGTACACCCCGAGACCTGTTTTTCCTTTGTCAAGTACGGTCGAATCTGAGTTTGCTTGTGTGTCTGCTTGAACAGCCACTTGTTTATCACTATTAAACCCGAACAGCAACTCCTTTTATCGAAATTGCGAACCAGATGCAAAGCCTTTTTCACATTCACATCTATTATAAGTACCTAGGTTCTCTCGGCTGGATCAAGCTCTCAGCCATAAGTCTCAGAGGACCTTGCCTTGCTCATACTTGCTTCATCGACAGCATTCTGCGAAAGTTCCTACTTGTACTTACCGAGCAAAACACCGTCAACACTCATCCTACTTTATAACAACTATGAACATAATGTTCCAGTTACTTTTGACAGTGTATCCCTGGTTACTTGTCCCGCCTGCCGTATACTTTACCATATTCGTCGCAATCAGGATCGTCAATAGGGTCCCCTGTCGCCCTTATCTCTTACTCATTCCCTCCGCATCTCATCTGGTTCTTCACTATCTTCACTTATATATGTACGACATCCTTGACCCTTATGAGCCGCTACCATGGCCACTTGTTCGCGTCACTGGCGTGACTAGTTTTGTTATTATCAGCTATACGCTTATTATCTGTTTTGGGCGTCAGTGCCGGCAACCTCAAGCAGCAGAATCGGAGAGGGTACATTCTGCCGCTCCGGTAATGAATATCCAAGATGGTCAGGAGGACAAAGACAAGACCCGAGAACGCAGCGACGTCACGAGAAAATCCGATATCCCCTTATACAACCCTAACTATAGGTATCTCAAGATGCTCCCTAGCCATAACTCATCTGCTGGTCACGCTATATGCGAAGTGTGTAAATTGTGCGAAAAGTTTGGTGCTCACTACGAAGATTCTTTTAAAACGTGTCATTTAGGAATGGATTGCGCCAAGCGTAAATCTCCTACTCGCACCCAGCAAGACTCACCTGTTCGCCCCCGACATAAAGCGCCTACACACATCCAGGACAACTCACCTACTCGAACCCAGCGTACTTCACCTGCAACCTTTGACCGTCTGTTCAACTACCGAATGGCAGTTGTTGTTTGGTGTATCCTTATTGTCTCTATGTATCTTCTTATCGATATTCACTTCCTGACCGCCCAATCCCAGCATACACTTTTTCATGTGAGAGAAAATGGCATTGTTGAACTTGCCGTGATAGCAATGAGATTGGTCTCTCTTTTCTGGCTGATATCGATTGCTGCGTTTTATCTGATACGTTGGTTCGTGATTTATCCAACGCAGTGGTTCGGATTGCCAGTGCTATATTTCTGTATGGCCAGGGCAGATCCAAGGATTTCGCTCCTCGAAGTGTGTGATAATGCGGTAGAAATCGCACATTGTGTCGAGGAAGGATCAGGATGGTCCAAAACAAGCATCGTGGTTGGATGGCTCAGGGAGTCGGTAGTTAGAGCCCAACAGCTCGAGCAGCGAAAGAAGGGCAGGGTATGATACAAAAGCCGCAATGCCAGAAATAGCCTAGTTTAAATCAGAGCATTTGTGTCTCCATCTTAGTCTGCGAGTCAAGTGATTTCATGTCTGACGTGGAGCAGTATTCCATTTTCGAGAAATGCGCTTCTGTTGGACTTGCGTACCGTTAGTTAGGGGTGACTGAACGTACATATGCTTGCCGCGTATTAACATAAATTCCACTATAGTCGGAAACATTTCCAGTGTAAGAGAGTGCTGTTAAGTAATGTAGGACTCCAGCCTCTTCTTTTCGTAGATGTCGCGAGGACTCAGGGTCTTACCCCTTGTTTGTAACCCATCTATGTCTCGGCAATGCAACATCCTTTGACTTGACTGCAAGTAGTGCCGTGAATTTGGACGATAAACGGAGGGGTGGCCTGTTTGTTCTAGGGCTTCACGAGATGGATTGCCTTTGCGCTCACGAGACACTTTGGCTTCCATCGAGTTAGTTTGGAGTAAGGTGCATGCTTCAGAACAGGAGCCAGGGTAGACTCACTTCGCTTGGCCCTTTGGTTTGTTCTTCTGCGATACTATCTGTTTCTTCATTGCTGTTTTCTTCTCTCTTGCTAATGGGAGGCCTTCGGCGTATTCCTCAACGTCGTCAGCTTCATCCCCTGACCAATACCTTCCAGGTTTTCCACGTTCAGCGGCCTGCATGCTTATCTTCCGCCTGAACCCGCACTTCCTATCAGATCCTTTGATATCTTCTCCCTATGCTGCGTGTTGCATTATAGGATCCCGTGTTGTGGACCTATTACTCACCCCTTCGGAAAAATTTGAGAACAAGTAGCAGTACTCAACCATCTACAATGGGACCTTTTCGCGCCACTACTTCAGTAATGGTGAGCTTGAGGATAGAGAAAGAACCCTCTTACCTCTTAGTATTAGTCAACAGGGGCTATAGGTTTGGGACGAGAGATATGGCCGTCAGCTCAAAAGAAATAGCATGATCAGAACGTTATTCACCATAGAAATAAATCTGATTGATGGCGCAAGTTGAAGAACCATAACAGCCACTGGGACTGAATTGCGCCAAAGGTTAGTCGGCTTCGAGAAGCATATGAATGTCGAAGAATAGTGGGAATGGCAGTAGTTGAGTGCTTCTTCATACCTTGGCGAGTCGCCCTTTGCAGAAGTGTTCAATTGTTATTCACCACTGCGTTTGTCGGGACAGAGTCATTTCGCTCACTGACGTGGTCGGCCATTGACTGATGTGACAGGTTCCATCATTGACATGTTGTGCTCATATGCAAGAGACGTCACGCTGTTCAAGTTAGAAATTGGCAACCATTGACCTCATCTGATTATATACAGCAGTCGGATTCCTCAAAGAAGAACCTGGAGTGTTTGATAGTCAGTACTAGCCAGGAGATTCGCGGTGTCTGGATCTGGAGGTGAAAGCTTAACTGGAGATACTGCACTTAAAGGAGGAAGCACTGGAGTGTTCACATCTCGAGGACTGAATCGGCGAGGGCAGGCGGCAAAGCTTCTGTATGGATGTCTGAGTAACAGTCCAGCCAAAAGAGAGCATGGGATTGATCTAAACTTAGAACATGATGGATATGGGTGTAGAGTTCAAGAGCGTTTATTTGTGTGAGGTGATGAGAGATGTTACCTGCTTTAAGATGCCAGGGCGTGGTCTGTAAAAAGTCGGCCCGGGACGGGGTCAGATTGGAAGAGCATTTGAACAGGTGAAGATCGATAATGCGGCGTGTTCTCGTTTGGTGTTGTGATGCATGCCACGAGTCTGCAAAATGTTGAATATTGTCACCGGTATAGAAGAACTGAATGTGTTTAGATCCTTGAGGATATGTACTATTATGATGGTATGTCTGAGAGTTTGGTAATTCCTGTGGTGATGGGGTAAAGGCTGGGGATACGACATGATGTGACTCTGAGGCTTTGTACGTTGGCCAAGAAACCCATGCATCAGCAAACCAATGGCTGAACTCAAGGAGGCAAAAGTCATGAAGGCCGTGTAGAATCACCATAGAGGAGGAACCTGACACGCGAGTCCCTGCCAATGCCACGTTCCATAAGCCTTTACTGACACTGCGCTATCATGAATGTATAGCAAGTCTAATCATCTCGTATATAATGATACAAGAGGCTGATGGCAACACAGGCACACTTCATTTTGCAAATACCTGCACAAGCTGAGTATCCCATGGCAAACATCAAGCCATCACAATGTTATTGACGCGCACCTGTACGTTGTTCACTTGAACTTTGAATTACTACCGATGCTGTACACTAGTTCAACGACATATCAAAAGAGATTGGCTCCATGGCTGAAAGGCATGAAAAACTGGTTCGAGTTTGGAACACAACAAGTCATTGCCGAGGGCCTTTCGATCCTTGTCTTCTTTATATCTTCTGATATACTTAAAGGCGGTTATCGAGCTGGTAACCCCTTTCTCAACACTTAAAATAGCTTCAGTTACGCTGCGCTTAGCCAAGAGCTGGACTATCTTAGATACATTATGTTGCTTTCGTGGCGAGGTTCTGTTTCTGACCCCTTTCTGTTGATGAGGTATGCCTCCTTTCATCGTCGCAGTCGGGAGGATCGTGTTTTCCAGTTGATGTCAGTGAGGCCGAACTATACTACTGATACACTGGAGCAATATGTCCCCCTGTTGTCGTAAGTGTTGTCACCTTCAGGCGCTTGGTCATCCATGGCGCAGATGCGGGACAGGGTTTCCGCGATTCGGGTCTCCGCGAAATCTGGCCGTAATGTTATGTACCTTGTTTTCTTGATCTATACCCCAGTGCAGAGTTGGAGCTTATCAGCTATATGGGTCATCAAACTTAGTTGATCCCTGAGCAGTGAAGCCTGTATTGTGTCGAGGTAATGATGGGGTTTCACGACCATCGGATTCAAGAGCGCTTGGCTTTCAGCAATCCCCGAGCCAAAAATACATACCTCGTCCAGTTTTGACGCCCATCTTCTCCGGTGTCTCTTTCTTGTCCCTGTCCTCTGTATCTGTCCTGCTGAAACGATAAACCATCACATCAAGCTGCCGTTACCTCCTCGCCGCACCGACCTCCTTCTAATCCAGTCTTCTCTATGGGGCTTGTTACTGTGACACCAAGGACCTTCTCACGCCCTCCCTCAGCTGGCCTGTGAACGAAATAGAACCAAAGATGCAGCGAAAGTCGAGACGCAATGTTGATTGCTTGCTGGGTTACCGCAAGCTCTGAGCGTCATGGCCAATCGTATGTCTCGTTCGTCCGCATGTACATGATGCCCCTCCGTCATCTGAAGCCGAGCTGAGTTGGTTATCAGGAGCAATCATTAGAGAGGACCATTGTATACTATATCCTTTGTCGTCTTTGAGTCGTCGCATATACTCTCAATGGAAGGTCTGTTTGTTTGATTCGGTCTCAGGGAGCGCAGCATGCGACTTGCAGTGTTGTTCTTGATCATCATGAGGATGAATGGCTCAGACGTGGGCCCTAGGCATCATCTTTCCGACATAGCTGGCTATCGTTCGGACTTGAAGATCGCGGCGCGGTCTGTTCCATGAAGCTCTCCGCGGTTGGCCAGTGAGGGGAGGCAAGGCAATGAGCCATTGACGAATGAATACAAGACCACTAATGTTCTCTAGAACAACCAGGACACTAACTAGCTTGTGGTGGGTTCCGAGACTGTCGGCAACGCCGTGTTGCGGTGTGAAACAATATGTCAATAGCGATTCGCCAGGTATACAGGTTCTTGTCTCTGACAAAAGATTAAATTACATGCGCTTTTGATACATAGTCGATGTCAGCCTTTATGCTGAGACGCCTTTTGGAGTTTGAGTAACCGAGCTTGCTTTAATTGTATTATATGGTTGTTAAGGTAGCTCATGTCTAGACTTAGACAACCATCTTGCTCCCCCAAACTACTCTCAATCTTGCTCAGCAGCTTCTCACATGCTACTATTAATAGCTCACCCTGAGCTACCCCAACACGGTTCAGCAGGAACAGCACGATTAACACTCGTGTCGCCAAAATGAAGATGTAGATAAACCTCTTATCTTCGTACCGCAACCGAGCGGCCAACTTTACCTACGATCCTGAAAGACAGGGACAGTCGTTAGCTTAGCCAGATTACGACGAAATTCATAACCTTATTTGGTTTCCGGACCGTAATCTGCCATCTCGGGAAATCCGACAGTCTGAACTCCGACCCAACCAGATGCCCCTTTGCTTTGTTACAAGATAGCAGCCGTAGAATGACGTCCATTCAAAGGGAAGCTACTCGGCGGCGCATTGGTGATAATCAAGTATGGTTTACCACCCTTGGGGACGCGCAACAGTTCCTCTCCTTCTCACCTCTTCGTATATCCTACTCCTTCAACGGCAGGATGTGATGATAGCTTCGCGGACATGCAAGGGCATCGAAACACGGACCAGAATACTACCCATCACGCAGCAGAGCGAATAGTCTACTCTGGTTAGAAGCATTGGAATATGGCACAGCATATATTCTCTATCCTGAGTTTTTCGTTGCAAACTTTACATCTACAGTCAATCGCATGTCTCTTGTCTCTTCCCACTATGGGGATTCTGGCAATGTCGATACGTCTCGTCGCAAAGAATTACCCTAACGGCTGACCCCATGATTGATGGATTGGCTGCCTGTGGGGTCGTCATCACCAACAATTCTGACCGAGGTCTCGTTGACCACAGCTCATTTGAGGAATCAACTGAGTTCAAGGATCGAGAGGTAAGGAGGAGACGCATGTCCGGGAGCAAAGAGCTTGCCTCTTATTATGTCCCAATTTTGGTAGAACCCTGGAGGACATGTCGCGACAGATAAACTCAGTAAATCACAAACGTAGTTATTGAAACTGTTACAATCGTTGATAAACTTCCTCTCGGTTGTGTTTGCCTGCCCCCCTGAGCAGGCTTTATCAACTGCGTTACTGTATTGTGACTTTGGCCTTGACATATACGGGTTTGCGCCGCCTCATGCCATCGTTTTGTCAATCCCAACTGAGCTGAATATTAAAATCAGATTAACAATCCATGTCGAAGCTCTTTTGTTAGTCAGCCTGTTGTTGTGCTTATTTTTAAGCCTTACCCTTGAAGTCATCCTAGCAGGTTTAGGGTAGACACTGAGCATGCCTTGGGGGCAAGAAAATAGCTAACCTTACTGTAAGGTGCCAAAATAAACTCAGTAGAAATTATCCTAAGCTTAGGCTATATTACCTAAGTCTTTATATCATTTAGCATCGAGGCCCTGTGTTTTCTTTCCTGGCATGGCCTGTGGACTACACTAAAGATCGCCGGCAGGGAAGTTTTACGGGGCATATCTGGGCAAGTAAACCATCAATTCTTGTCTTTTTGCGCTTGATGTTCGACTCTATGATCACGGATCACAAAATAATGTACAATACGATTATTTACCTATTTATTCATGCTCTTGATGTGCAGCTTGAACCGCCAACTTTCAGCTCGTTTTGGCTGACTGTCGCGACGTTTCCTTTGCCCTGTGGCTCAAGTGGCTTGTACTGTAGTGGCGGGCAGCTGTTGATGGCTGTGGCGGCTGTGGCGCAGGAAAAGTGACGTCATGGTTATAGTGAAACGCTTAACCCTTACGTCATGCTTACCCAAATTGTCAATTGTAAACCTCGCCCAGGGCACTGGGCTGCATCTCTACGGGTATCAACAAACACCACAACTTGTCTTCCAGCTCGAGCTTATCATCATCATCAACATCAACACCAGCAGCAGGCTTCACTATGGATAATCCTCCAAAATGGCGTCCGGTGTGCAGGCCGAAGACGAAAAAGCCCACGTGAAAAGATACATCGCACGCGTCGTCGACTCCTCCCCCTCCCCCTCAGAAAATGTCACCGCGGCTGACATCGTGTCGCGCAACCTTCAACGACTCCCCTCGCCCGACCGTCGCCAGGTCCTCGATGGCCTCATGAAAGAGGCCCCGAAGCTCAAAGGCATTCAAAACGAAGTACGAGAACATCGAGCCCATCTCCACCGCGCAACGCGACGCGACGCGCAATTGACCTACCTCGACAAGGCTTGGGGTGGTCGTCAGAACTGGGCGAATCCGACGTATATGCCACGTATCACGGAAAAGGTATCCATCAGTACAACAGCGCCTCTCACAACAATTACCAAGCTGGCGGTCAAGCATCAGATTGAGTTACCTAGTCTTTGGCAGCCCGGCGGCGAATTGCATGATGCCTCGTTTGCATACGGTGAGCACATACTCACCAAGGATAAGGCTGCTGCGGCTTTGCGTGCCTTCAAGTTGCGAATCGGGCAATTAGACGGTCCTGATCTGGACGCCCGTGACAATGAGCCCGAATTGTCGGCGCCGGAGTCGGAGGATGAGGAGGATGAGGAGGATGAGGAGGAGGAGGAGGAACAGGAGGAGGAGGAAAAGGAGGAACAGGAGGAACAGGAGGAACAGGAGGAAAAGGAGGAAAAGGAGGAGGAGGAGGATCGTGCTGCTAAACGCCTGAAGCACGCCGTCGAACGCACTCCATCCGTCGAGATTGGCCGCCGCGTTTACATACCAGCCTTTGACCATCGCGATGAATTGTTTTCGCCTGAACGGCAAGTCCCTCGGGATGATGATGATGATGATTACTACGTGGATCTTCCTGGTATGCACCTTGTGCCGACATCCTTCACTGTCCCTCCTAACAAATTACAGATGGCGCCTCCTCTCCCCACCCGCGCCTCTCAATCTCGCCAATCCGCCGCCACCAATCCTCTGCCTCATTCATTATTGATGATGATGTCGTCGCCCCTGTCGACGAAGCAGAGCCCAGCCAAACGACTTCACAACGCGCCCAACAACAACTCCGCGATCCCACTGCACAGCTGACGGACGACGTGCTGAACTTGCTGCTCCAACACATCACCCGCACCAGCAGAACCCCAGGCGCAAAAGTCCTCGACCCTCTATACGTCCAAGTCGACAGCCAAGAGTCCCACCAACCTCCCGCCGGTCTCGCCAGACTCTGCGAGTCGAACAAGGTCATCTATATCCCCCTTCACCACCAGAGCCAAGGCGGACATTGGAGCCTTGCCGTGTTGCACCCCGAGCAAGCTTGCATCGAGCACTATGACAGTCTCCATAGTCGACAACGGGAAAGTCGGATCCAGGGCTGTTTCGAGACCATGCTTGACGTTCAATCTGTACAGCTTTCTCGCATGGTAAGTTGACCCTCGTTGATCTCGTTCCTGTATGCTGACCAATCTTGTCGGTAGTCTTGTCCTCAACAAGCGGATTCTATCAATTGCGGTGTGTTTGTTGTCTGCTTCCTCGGCTTTCTACTCAACAAGCTTCCCTTTCCGACATCGCTGGACCCAGCACCTACGAGACAGAAGCTCCTAGACATGGTTGTCGATCCACAACGTGAGCCAAGTATTTCTACTGGGAATGTGACTTTACGGAAAGGACAACGTCAGCCAGCTGTTTCTACTGCGCAAAAGCCCATGGATCTCGGGGTTCAGGTTCTAGAAACAGGTTCCGGACCAAGCGATGTTCTCGGTGCCACTGAACATACTCCACCACGAACACTCCGGTCGATCCCCCAAGTCCGAGAACGCATCGCCCGGCTTGAGATTGACATCGACACCCTATCAGCTCGTCTTGACCCCCTCATCCAGAGGAACGCCATCTTCAATACGGTCCCGAGAGCCCTCGCAGCCATGGAAGAAGCATTGAACAAGGCGCCGCAATTCGGCACCCCTGGCTCTTTCTGGAAGTCTGAAGAGGAAGCTGGCCGTGCAAACAACTTACTTGCCGCATATCGTGCAGTGGAGGCCTTGGCTGGCTGTGGTCCACAGAGCGGTGCCGATGGTATTGCAACTCTACAAGCACAGCTTGATACTTCGAGGGCAGAGCTGCGTGAGGCTCGGCGGATCTTCAAGGAGTTGGCGAATGCTAGTCTGGCTGCGTCTTTGTCACTGGTGCAGGAGTCGAGGAGGGGTGAGTAGAGACTTAAGATGAGGCTGTCAATAAACTTAGAAACGAGTCCCATAAGGTCAGACTAGATTATATAAATATGTATCACTGAGGTCCTGACTTACCCAACTCTACCATTTTACACGTGTCTGCCTATAATGATGAAAGAGCTGCTGGTCGTTTTTCAAGTGGCACAGTAAGCTGTGGTGATATAAGGTCGATTGTTAAAAGATCCTTTTCCTGTTAGCCTTATGGCAATCTTCTTTATATTATCTCCTTACTTAACTATAATAGGGTTAAAGGATTAAAAAAAGGCTTTAGCCTTAAGGCTATAAAGGTAAAGAATATTAAAAAAATATATATAAATAAAATATTTATTACCTTTATTATTACTTAAAATCTTACTTTTAATTAAAAAGTTAAATATTCTAATAATTAACTTTAAAGATATATAAATAAATAGCTATTATTTATTTATAAAAATAATTAAACTTAAAATATATAAAATATTTAAAAGTAAATTATTTAATATAAGTAAATTTATTAATTTAAAATAATACTTTTAAAATAATTTTTATTATAATTATTAATAAATATAAAATTTTTAATTTTAATTTTAGCCTTTTTATTATTATTAATAATTAAATTTATAAACAGTTAAATAAATTAATAAAGTTTTAAAGCCTTAATATAATTATAAAGAAAAATAGCTTTAATAATAAAATCTTTTTAAAAGTTATTAAATTTAATTATTATAATTATATTATAGTAATAAAACCTTTTTTTTATATTTAAAAGAAACATTATAAAATAATTAAAAAATTATTAAATAATAAAGTTAAAGAGATAAAATTAATAGAAAAAAATCTAACTTAAATATATATAATATTAAATTTATAAAAAATAATAAATTTTATAATTTTATAATTATAAATATAAAGAAAAGTTAAATAGGCTAATAATATTTAATAAAAAAGCTTATTAAAGATTTAATTATAATTAAAATTAAGTTTTAAATTAAATAAAGCTTTATTAAATAAATTATAAAGGTTTTAAATATAAAGCTCTTTATTTAATATTTATTAAACTTATAGCATAACCAGAACTATAAGTAGAAATCTAATAAATACTTTTATATTAATAAGAAACCTTAATATTAATATATATATATATAATAGTTTATATTAGTTAGCATGGCATTGTCGATAATGAATATAGCGATGCTAATGAAAATAAATATTAAGACACTCACAACGCAATAACAGCGACCATATAAAACTTTAGTCAACGAGCTGTAAGTACGGTACGAAATTACGCCATGAAGTCGGTATTGGGCTTTATCCTGCGCTGATACTGAGACTGGGGGCAAGACGGGGAGGCTGTTGTATGTCTCATGGACTCATTAGACACCTGGTGTCTCGATGCGTTTTACTGCCAAGTAGTGACCCCCGTGGGATTCAATAATATGTTTGAAAAGAATAAAAATATACCATGATACGAGCTTATGTCTTAGAACGGTCTGCATGCTTTAGAGATAAATCTTCAAGTACCGGCTGTCTTCGTGGGGCATAACCTTAAGACACTGCAAGCTGTCGGGCTTACTACCACTATCGAAATCACAAGATCCTATCGTCAGTGAAGTGAGCTTATCTCAATCAGTATCAGAGTCGCCTGGCCAAACGCCGTCTTCAATACAGTGGCTTTTCTCGTGGGCTCGGAGAGCTTCAGGGTCCCATTGCGCGCAAGCAGAAAGAGATGGTATCAGGCAGAAAGCAGTCCATAGGACTCACTTTTGCCCAATACCTGTTTCTCAAGCTGGTATATTGCGGTCTAAGTCGCTTTATCCTTAGTACAATCTTTTGATACTGGCTTGGTATAGACCTCTCCGCGACTGGACGACGGAAGCAGTACTCTGAGTTTGAAGATATTGATGGGCTTGGTGTGATGTTTTCCAACGGGAGGGAGTCAACTATCAGCACAGTAATAGGGAATCGAGTCTCCAGGACCTCGAAGCTTTCGGTCCGGTTGGAATCTTAGAAGATACACTGGCTGCTTTGTAGCGGGGGAAAGCTTCATGAGAAGAAGCCGATTGCCCAGCAGCTGGATAAGTGTTTTGCGGGAGAATCCTTGGGAATTGGATCGATATTGGAGACAGAATTGAGCTGGCCAGTGCAGGTAGATGTCTACTTGTTTCAAAAGTTCGCAGCAGGAGACGGCTTTATGTACTGTGGCGATGAGAACAGAATGGATACAGCTTCGCCTTTCGGATCCGAGGTGTAGATCAATGATGGCGGTGAAGACGTACGAGTTTGACTTCTCGGTTTCCAACATGAACACAAAGTGGTGCAGATTGGCACCAGGACCTCAGCATGCTTTACTCTGAAACGCCGCCTTGTAACATGTGGATCTTCCTCTCGAGGGCGCCTTTCCTTAGCCGCTTAGATCACGAAAGTTCTCACCTCTAGCTTCCTAGACAACCTTACCATTACCTCCCCTATTCGTGCACTCCTCAGCAAGTTCCTGACTAGGAGATCCTGTCTCGCTTACTTCTGTGCGGTGGCACGTTCTTCCGAGATGTTACTGTCCGACAACCGGAATCAATAGGCGAGTCCGAGGTTCTTCATAGCCTGTATAATTGCTTTAAACACTGTCAGTACCATCTATAGCCAAGGGATATTGACATGTTCAAAACTGTTGGGATATGAGTGTCCTTCAGAGAAGTCAGCAAGAGAAGTCAGCATCGGTGAATCTTGAATGGCCTCGGGATGAGTCAGTCGAGGTAATCGCAGTCTCGTGCACTGAGCATACCAATATCTGCATCCTACACCCAGACTTAGCCAGCGGCTTTAATCGAGCCGGGACCAACCTGCGTCGAAACAAGCATAGATTTCTCTTGATTGTGAGGTGAGTTGAGCTCACCAGCCCATCTTGACCGACGCATGTTTTCCCAGATGAACTTACGACAGCTGTAGATAAAGTGATGCAATACTCTTGTCAGTAATGTTCAAAAGAACCGAGAACTTTGACCTGGCACCCCGCCGTCTTCTCTGTGCCCAGTTGCGTTGCAATATCTAAGTACCGGAGGATTGACCAGTTCCCTTTCTCCAGTCGGCGGCAAGTCTCTAGCGGGGCCGTATTCTGGAAACATTCCGATCCGAATATTATTAAGTATCTATCGTCGCCAATAACTAATAACTTCTGAATACAATAGCTAACACATGTGACCAAAACAGGTTGATCCGTCCTGGACAGTCAATCGCCCAGCAGATTGACGGTCTGCGCACCAACCTCTCCTACCGTATCCGCTTCTTTTGGGTCAAGTTCGATACACCTTCGGCAACAGCAGGCTGCCAGCTGAGTGCTACCCTTGGCGGCCAGGACCTCGGAACTGTTTCTCTGCTGCCACCGAGAACGCCCAATAACGTCTTTGAGGAATATGTCTCCGCGGTTCACCAACCTTCCAGCCCAGCGGAAGAGCTCAGGATCAGAATGGACTGCGGCAGTGCCGGTCAAACCAACAGATTCTACGTTGACGATGTGTCAATTGAGTATCTTTAGCACCGCTGTTGGAGGAGAGGTTGGATGGCTCTTGGTAAAACGTCCCTTTTATAGACATAGATGAGCGACCAGTGCCAGGCGTCAACCTGCTTAATTTCTTCAGTAATTAGGTAAAGATTACAGCCTGATGGGGAACCTTACAGCTTTTGTTGGAGAGGAAATCACTTATTATTCTATCACCGCCAAACAGATTATTTTAGAAAGACTTATAACAGTTATAATAGATTCATCAAATGAAGCATAAAACAGACTTCAGCTAGCTACAAACTGTAAATGAAGAAACTTACTTACCCAATGCAGTATGGAAGACAACTTCCTGATCAGGCAAACAAGCCGATAGGCCTACCACCTCGCTCAGATCATAGAAGCATTCAACATGGTGCGGCATATGCCCTTGTGTCACAAGTAACTCAAACTCTACTCGTCTCAGCGAAGCTCTTTATTATGCTCTTGAGTCACCCCAGGCTTGAAGGCATCTTACCGCAAGATATATCACCAAGCAGTTGAAAGGTCCCTTCTGCACCTATGCGAGATGTAAACACAATTTCGAGGTGGCAGCTTCGAAATAATCCGGTAGAAGATAGGGCGCCTTAGCCACTAAAGATTAGGGTCTCTGGTAGCCACAACCCGATCTGACTTGGTTGATGAATTGCAAGTCCACTGATGTTCCTAACCTCAATCGCGATCAACAAGCTACTAAACTTCCACCAACTCATAGATGATTTGAGAAAGTTCTACATAACACCGAAAATACTTTCAGATAGAAAAGGCGTTGTTGGTGCTAGCAGCCGCAGGCCTTGAAGTGGAGAGCGTTTCTTCTTGGCTTGGCTAGTGAGGCACCCAACGGAGTACAAAGCTTGACAAAGTCTTTGTAACGGCAGGATTTGATTGCTCGTTACGACGGAAATGGTATTCATCGAAAGAAGAGCAAAAGAACACACCGGGACGTCCAATGGTAGTAAGGGGGGCTTTTCTACGGACAATGTCTGTATACATACAATTTCATCAGTCTCTGCTCACAGGGCGTGTCGGCAATTACAACAGCCAGAGATGCGACCTGATTCCGCGAAACATTCCTTTGCTATATTCCGATGACCAGAGTATGGATCGAACAACATCCATTTCTGCTTTTCCATGCCCTCACCCTCCTTCATTCTCAACTCTTGGCACTCCAATCAGATCTCACCACGTCATAAGCTGTACAGACGCGTCTGTGTTTGCTACAGAAAGGACTATGGCGAGCTTCCTTCGGGCTGAGCCTTTGCAAAATCAAGAATTCGGCTGAGCTCAGTGAACGGGATGTGGATCGGCGCAAGCGGGTAGTCGTCCGAATACTTCTCCTTAGCCATGTCCGTGAGTCGGACCTTGACGAGTTTGGCGCCATTGACCATTCGACCATTGGAGTCCTGGAATGCCTGTGAAAGATAAATTAGCCACTGGCCCCCCGTGTGAGGGGAGACTTGCCGTGGGTTCCAGGTCACAGACTGCCTCAACCGTCTCTGATGCAAGATCCTATCTCGCTCGCCAGATGGAGACAGACGAATGACCCTCGTTGTCCTTGAGGTTGAAGCAGACCACGGTAGTGACAGCACCCTTGGTCCCGACGATGTAGTCTTTGGCGACCTTCTCAAGGCTCTCTCCGGTTTGAGAATAGCCGACTTCGTAGACAAGACCTGGCTTGCTGGCGCGATCGTCCTTGAACTGTCCGTCCGGGTAGCACTCTCGACCTTTCTTAGCCTTGTCGTGCTCCCAAAGCTTCACCAGTCGGCTCTGGCGGTCCGTGATTCTAGGCGCGTTGGGTACCGCGCGCAGGATGTCGTCGATCAGCTTCTGGAGCACGAGTCCAAACTCGGTGGCAAAGTCGTCGTGGGTCTTGGATGGCATTCTAAGGGTTACGATACCAGCGTCAGCGTCGTAATCATAGCGACGAAAGAGGTCATTGAGCTGCGGGCGGATGCTCTCGAATACACGCGGTTCGAGTTCGAGCGACACGAAGTAGGGCCCAGCGATGTCAGATTCAAGTCGCTGATGGCACTCGAGAATGTTGTCGGGGATGGAAGAGGTTGAAGCAGCAGCCTGGGGAGTGACCTCCACCTCAAGCGCAGCAGAACCATCACGTTCGTCGACCATTGCTGCGGCGATGTTCTGTTGGTGAAGGTGTTTGAATGGGTAGCGTTGGTGGAGAAGGTCGTTTGCCTTGAGACTTAGTATTGTCGTTAGCAGAAGTCGTTTGATGCTGCAACGAAAGGCGAAAGATGGTTCGGTGACGTAGCTTAAACCGACCATTGCCTTGAGATAATGGTACTAGTGAGCACACGATGATGTCTTACCTGCGGTGAGGCAGAAAGTGCACTGCCGCTTGTGTTTTGGTCTGGGGATGAAGGCGCCCGGGTATACTGAAGGCTACCTTATGAATGAGTAGTACGTGAAGAAGAAAGAGAGAATGAAAGAGCCTTGTCTGACTTGCTTCCGTTCTGTTGCTGAAGAGAGGCGAGAGAGCTGCGTGCTAGAAGAAGGTCGAAGTGGAGGGGGGTTAGATAGGCGAGGAATCGGTGAGAAACTTTGAGCAGGTGCCTAGCACTGCTTAACTGCAAAAGAGTTGACTCGGTATTATGAACAGCCAGTGTGACAATAATTTTATCAGTACTGCTGAACCGGAGCAGCCAAGCTCAATAACATGAACATGTGTAGACTAGTACCAATGCGTGACCACATAAGGATACAGTGTGAACATCAGCATATTAAATCACCTCTTTAAACCACTGAATGTGGCCAGGTATTTGTGCTTAATGAACAAATTATTCGTCCAAGTCGCGAAGCCACAGAGTGTCACTGTTCAAGCCCCTCCCTTGTTTCCCCACGTCGCTACAACTACTCTTCGCCTGCGCACCCCCGCCCCCCACACAATCTCTATGTTCCGCCAGACACGTCTGCACAGCCCTTATCGCAACCCCAGCCTTAGGACCCTAAGCTGACCCCGCCGATATGTAAAACTCCCAAGACGCGACAACCTGCCAACCTCAGTCTCCCAGTTTAACGTGAAGTGGTGAGGCGACTAGACTGGCTTGCCCCCAACCTACACACTGGACTCCCACCAAACTCCTACTCAAGCATTAAGTCAACTTGCGAACCGTCTAGCAAGCTTCTGGCGCCTGCCGCCGAGATTTTCTGAGCATCCAACTCAGCATCTTCTATCGCCCTCCTTCATATCTGACCGTCGCCACCGCAGGAGCCGTAGTTGGGCACGATATCCGAGAATAGTAACCCGTCAACCCGCTCCGACGACAGCGACAATGACAACAACTTGGTGTCGATTTTGATATCTTCTACGACGCGCCTGGAAGCCCATCACCAGAGCAAGAGCAAGCTATGGTGCCCCCAAAGCCGGCAGCGACACAGCAACGCCGAATGCCCCGTCAGCGGTCTTGAGACGCTTGAGACTCTTGTAGCCGACTTTGCGTTTTTTTTGACCGACATCGAAGCTGCTGCAAACGGTATTGGAAAAAATGCTGAGGCTCCCGCGATTAGCATTGAGGCTTCTGGTTCGGCCGGTTTCCCCCATAACAACGCTCGTCAATGCCAACATAAATCCAGTCCTGACTACGAGTGGACTTTGGCGGCTTTGACTTGGAGTGGCTAGAAGCGACTCTTCGAAAGAGCTGAAACCGCTGTTGAAGAAGCTCAGGCTTCACACCAGACCTCTACCAACGTCGTTACCTACATCCTCGGTAAAGACAGGGTGCTCAAGATACTTCCAGATGCAAGCGACAATCACATTTGCGGAACTGGCAACGATATCAGCACTTCTTCCGTCGACAAAGCTGGACCTGCCGCCGAACGCAGACTCTCCAGCTCCAACGTGGACAGCGTTAAGATCAGCCGCCACACTCGTCTTCGAAATGCAGAGAAAGACAACACCAACCAAGATATCGATCTATCTGTCCAGATCCACTATGTGCTGCTAGACGAAAAACAAACCGGGAAAATCCTGCTTGCCGCAAAGGGTCTCGTTCAGGCCGTTTGGCACATATGGGAAGCCAAGATGAAGCGATATGAAGTTGCCGAGCTGGATAAGAAGTACGATGAACTACGTGCTGGGTATGGAAAGATGGAAGACGAGGAGGTTATGGTCGCTGTTCGTCTGGCTGCAAAGCGATGCGACGCCAGAGAATGGAAAATCATGGCATATGAGGAAGACTGGCAGGCCGTTTTCGATGAGGATTTGGACAAAGAGTGAGTGCTTTGCCTGCTGTCCAACTCTGCATAGTTCTGCCTGCTTCTTTGAGCTTCTTGAGCATCTTTTGTGCCCCTTATCGACACAAAAGGAAACATTATGCTGCACATAGGGTGTTCGAACCCCTTGCCCTCTCTTTAGTGTAAGTAAGGCTTGAATACAGTTATAGTATGTCGAGAACAGGCTTGTATCTAGTTATGATTGAGAGATCAGGTATTATCGTATCTACTAATATTATACATGTCCCGATGGGCCAGAGACGATAATGGCCACTGTCTACAGCAAGACCAGGTTTGGCTTGGGCATGACAGTCTGCTCTCGTTGCACGGCAATGACCCCAGGTTGATGATGGGCTGATCATGTCAAGAACTTAACAGACGTCGATCAGAGTCTCTCGATGTCGGCAAGATAGGCAACATTAAACAAACAGGGTAAACCATCATCACCAAAGAATTGACATGCACATGACAGGGACATCATTATTCCAGACCCAGATATCCAACAAGTAGCCGGCCCTTCCTATTTCTATCAAGTCAAAATCAGGAATATTGACATATAACAGTCCGATTCAAATGAGCCCGAGCCCTAACTTATCTCAACCCGATTGCGTCATCCCAGCCCTCCATATTCCTATTACCATTCTTTCGTTACCACTACCCTGCGAGAACTGTAGGATCACCATCCAGCCAGATGATATTGGCCTTCCAAGTCTTCATCTTCCACAAATGTCCAACCTTCACCATGTCGCATGTATAAAAAGCACCCG